GTTAGACTCTTGAGTTATGATCCACAATTACACATTTATATGAGCTAAAAGTAGCTTAGCATAGTAGCTGTCATAGTCATACTTGCTAGTTTATATTGGACCAAATAAAATAAATGACCTACACATGAACATTCCGTTCTAAAAGAAACCCATTCTAAAGGCTCACTTACAGAAAAAAATTGCACCAGCAGCTTCTTAGGTTAAAAGTCCCAAACCACTAAGGGCAGGATCCTCTTTTTTTGTGTGTGTGTGTGCATGGCCCAGACCATGTTCTGTCTTTCTTACTTCCTTATCTCACCTCCCAACCCCTGATCTCCTGGGCTTGGAGCCAGAAAACAAGACTCTTAACACCACAGGAGACATCTGGCTACAATATGAAGCTCAGAATCTTCAGCTCTCGCGGGCCTAGCCTAGAGTCAGTACAGCACAGAGGGCCACAGTTCCTGGTGTAAAGTAGACATTGAACCAAGTAGCATGTCATGAATTTCAGAGATGGTGGCTTGATCAAGACTAGAGAGGGTCTGGAGGGGCCTCTCTTAATTTTGACTTGAATGCTATGAGTCAGATAGTGAGCTAGGGCAACTTTTCAGGCTGAGGAATCAGCTGCCCCTGGGCCCTCTGGCAAAGCAAACAAACAAACAAACAAAAAACAGCTGGGAGTGTATTGGTCAATAGGTAGGTAGGCAGTGGGGCGGGGTGGGAAGTAGGAAGTGAGAATGCGGAAGGAGGACCCAAGAGGAAGCTGGGTTGGGATTTTAGTCTAGGTGCAGAGGGAAATTGCAGAAGGAGTTTAAGCCATAACTAAAATAATACGTTCTATCCACTTAGTGAGGCATTCTATTTGTTGCTAAGGGGACAGCAATGAAATTTGATGGATTACAACCTTCTACTGAAGAAAGATGCTGTGTAGGGGAATTAGAAATTATAACTCATGGCAGAGTCTAGACATAGGGACACAACTTACAGTGAGGACAGGGAAAGGACAGAGTAAGAAGATAGCTTGAGGCAAAACTGATAGACCTTGGTGATAGATGCCATGTGGGACGGAAGGTGTGTATGCATGAAAGTGTGTGCAAGTGTGTGTGTTTGTATCTGTGCAGGGCCTCATTAAGAATTACTCCCGGCTGGGCGTGGTGGCACACGCTTTTAATCCCAGCACTCAGGGAGGCAGAGGCAGGCAGATCACTGTGAGTTTGAGGCCAGCCTGGTCTAAAAGTGAGTCCAGGACATCCAAGGCTACACAGAGAAACACTGACTGGAAAAACCAAGTGTAAGTAAGAGAATCACACCTGGGTTGAGGGTGTAGCTCAGTTGGCAGAGTGCTTGCCTGGCAAGGAGAGAAGCCCTGGTTTAATCCAGAGCATCATGGGAAAACTGTAATCTCAGCACCTGGGGAGGCAGAGGCAGATGGAGCGCTGTGAGTTTGAGGCCAGCCTGGTCTGCAAATTGAGTCTAGGACAGTCAAGGCTACACAGAGAAACCCTGTCTGAAAGAAACCAAAACCCAAAACAAAACATTAAAGCCATGCTCCAGGACACAAGATTTATGTCCCTTTTTTTGTTTCCGTTTGTTCGAGACAGGGTTTCTCCGTGTAACAGCCCTAGCTGTCCTGGACTTATTTTATATACCAGGCTGGCCTTGACCTCATAAAGATCTGCCTACTTCTGCCTCCCAAGTGCTGGGATTAAAGGCATGAGCCACCATACCCAGGTAAAAATACATTTAATTTTATTTATGTGCTTTGGTGTGAAGGTGTCAGATTCCTTGGAACTGGAATTACAGTTTTAAGCTGCCATGTGGGTGCTGGGACTTGTACTCATGTCCTCTGGAAGAACAGACAGTACTCTGAGCCATCTCTCCAGTCAAAATTTCTGTCCTATGTGTGCACATTTCTTTTCTTCTTCCCACACTGCACTTTATAAAAAGTTATCACTTTCCAAACTAAAAAAAAAAAAAAAAAAAGCCAGAAGTCCCATAGTTCAAGATCCAACCTCCTCCCCCTGAGTTAGGGTTTCTTTGTGTAACCTTGGCTGTCCTGGACTCACTTTGTAGATCAGGCTGGCCTTGAACTCAAAAGAGATTTACCTGCCTCTGCCTCTCTCCCAGAGTGCTAGGATCACAGGCATGTGCCACTATGCCCAGCTCCTACATTTTATCAGAAATCTGGCTGAATGAGCTTTAGTTTAAAAATTTGTCTAATGTGAGACATCTCAGGTGAGAATTACCTGCTAACTAAAGTCCCTGTTGCTAAGTCATGCCTAACGACTTTGAAACAAGGTAATTACAGAGACACCAGCTTCACTCAGAGATCAGCCCTTCCTCCTTGCACAAGGCAGGTAAGGGAGATTTTGTTTTAGAGGTTATTCCTAGTTAGCAAGGGAAAAGGGTTTTCTTAGATTTCATAAGGATTTAGGCTGAAATTTAGAAACTGAAGATAAAAACTTAGCTTAATACTTATCTGGCCTGGCAAGGTGGCATATACCTATAATCCCGGTACTCAGGGAGGCAGGGGCAGGCAGACCTCTGTTAGTTCGAGGCCAGGGAGCCAAGGCTACACAGAGAAACCCTGTCTCAGAAACAACAAACAAACAAACGATACCTTAAAACAAAAAAAGCAAAAAACAAAACAAAACAAAAAAATCTCCAAATCAAAATAACTTTACTTTGAAAATAGAAAAAAGGCAAACTTACAGAGGTTGGTGTAGTTAAGGCATGTCCACCTTCAGAGTAATTTTACCTACTTGGTAATTTTGATTAATAGCAAAAAGTTAATACTAGTATTATTGAAGTGACAGCTGATCTCTTTCTGTAAGAGACTGTAACTCTGAATTCATGTAAGTCTGACCCTGTGCCAACCTTTCAGACACAGACCTCTCTTAGTCTCAACCTATTTTTGTCAATGCAGTGTAATGGGATCAGGCAGGCTTGGGCCGCAGTTCTGCCTGGTCACGTCATGGCTTTGAGTCACACATCGTCTCTCTGGGCCTCACTGTTCTCCTCTGCAAAATGGGTCTGATGATAATAAGGATACTTACCTCATAGGAATGTCCTGAAGCAGCAGCAGGACTTGCTTCCTACCGGATACAGGTGTGTCCTAGTTCTCAGTCCCTCCTCAGCCTGAAGCCAGTTAGTACTGAATTGTGTCTTGTCCCCTCCCACCTCCCAAATTTATGCTGATACCTTAACCCTACTCCTCCAAATAGGACTGCAGCTGGAATCAAGAATTACTGCTTGGGGCTGGAGAGATGGCTCAGCGGTTGGTGGCTCACAACCATCTATAGTAAGATCTGCTGCCCTCTGCTGCCCTGAGGCACACATGCAGGCAGAATACTGTATAAATAATAAATGAATCTTTAGAAAAAAAAATCTTAAAAAAAAAAAAAAAGAATTACTGCTTACAGATCGGTTTTTAGTGTGGGAGTAATGCATCATGCCTGATGTCTCTATGAAGGGTGGAAGACTGGACACAGACAGAGGGAAAAACATGGAAGACACAGAAAACAAGCAAGGAAAGAGGCCTCAGAGAAAAATCAGCTCTCTACCAACTGTGTCACACTGCTAACCAGAATGGTGATAAATCTGTGCCATTGGAAAAGCAGTGCTGACTGGGCCAGCTCTAGCAAAGGAGCACATGACTTGGCCAGAGGGGACTCTAGTGCTCCAAACACATGGTACCTTATGAATCCTGGTTGTTCGGTTTGATTTTTTGAGACAGGGTTTCTGTGTACCCCTAGCTGTCCTCTAACACAGTCTGTAGACCAGGCTAGCCTCAAACTCAAGAACTCCTCCTGCCTCAGCCTGTGTCACCATGCCTTTAATGCCAGCCTTCTCTTTTTACTGACCTGCTTTTGTTTTTAAAAACCTGATCTCATGTAGCCCAGGCTGGCCTCCTCCTCAGCATTCTTGATCCTCCTGCTTTTACCTCCTGAATGCTGGGATGACAGACCTACCCTAGCATCCTAGCTTCAGTTCCACTGTCGTGTGCCATTGCATTGCCAAGCTTTGAGAAGCAGTACAAGGGGACGAAGACCGAACACTCAGCTTCCCTCTGGCCTATAGCAGACTCCCTATTTGGCAGATAATATTTCAGTTTAAACCTGAATGTAAGTATCTATACTGAGAACCTAGCTAGCTTGACCATATAACCTGTCCCTCACAGCTTCTACAACAGAGGACCCATACGGAGAAAACAAAAAGCAGAGGCAGGAAATTTCAAGAAGCACCGGGTAAGCATATGAATGATGCCTGCATAGTAAGCTGCATAGTACAGAAGTTCAGACTGGACCTGTGGCTTAAAAATTAAGAGCACTTGCTGAACAGAGGACCCAGTCAGTTTCCAGCTCCCATGTGGTGGCCACAACCATCCCTAACTCCAGTTCCAGGGGATCTGACACTCTTCTGATCTCTGAGAGCACCAGGCACACACGGCACACAGACATGTACGTTGGCAAGACACTCCCAAGCGTAAATATGAAACCTTTTTAAAAAGTTAGTTGAGAGCCACTGAGTTAAAAAGGCGTTTCCTTCAAGGGGCAAAACTCGTACTGCAGACACAAAGGGATCCAGGTCACGAAACCATTACTGTCTCCTGATTCTCCCGTGACAGTTCGTCAGGTGCTATAGCCAAGGTTGGGGCTAGATCCCATGCTAGAAACAGCCTGGGAGAGCTTCTAATGTGACCAGATAAACCAAGGAACTGGGCCTGACTGCTGAGAGTTAAACCAAACATTTCTTTCAGTTACTAAAAACAGCTGTCTGAACTACTTGATGGACAAATCCAGGTTTCTAACCTACACACCGTATGAAATCTCCAGGCAAATCACATACTACCAGTAGACACTGCTGCCAAAATTGAGGTATGCAGGAAGCATGAAATATAGTCGGTCTGTACCACCACTAGTACATTTTAATACTAATCACATGGTGACATGTTCGGCCATACCTGTTCTAGTCACGCTCCACTGTGCCCAATGCCGAGACCAAAGCAAAGTGAGGCAAGAACGTGTTTATTTGGCTTTTACTTTCAAATCGTGATCCATCACTGAGGGAAGTCAGGGCAGGACGTCAGGGCAAGAACCACGAGAGAACTTGGCTTGCAGGCCTGCTCACTGACGCACTCACTGGCTTCTGCTTAGCCAGCGTTTTAACATAGCCTAGGGATCACTGGCTTCAAGAATGGCACCGCCCACAGTGGGTTAGGCCCTCAGACATCAATCAACAGTCAAGACGATTCCTCACAAGTATGCTTACAGACCAACCTGATCTAGACCAGCGGTTCTCAACCTGTTGGTTGCAACCCTTTTCAGAGGTCCGACAATCCACACCAACCCTCTGTGTATCAGACATTTACATTACGGTTAGTAACAGTAGCGAAATCATGGTTACGAATTAGCAGCAGAAATAATTTTATGGTTGGGGGTCCCCACAACCTGAGGAGCTGTATTAAAGGCCAATGTGTTAAGAAGGTCAAGAACCACCGATTAGACAATCCCTCAATTGCTTCTCTCATGACTCAGGGTAGGCTGTGTTCACAATTAAGGCTGACAGGACAGTAGCTTAAGTAATTCTGTTACGATGAATTTCACCTATTGTTACATGTAGCTTTTGAAAATTTTAAATTCTTCACGTCTCATACTTCTTCCTCCCCCTCTCCCCCATGCTAAGGATGGAGCCCAGCCTTGTGCATGCCAGGGGCACACGCCTCCCTTGAGCTACATCCCCAGGCCCTGTCTTCTTTTACAGGGTCTAATGCCGGGGCCAGCCGGGCAGAGTCGAACGGTTCTTGAGTTGGGCGTGAGGATTAAAATTAATAAAATAAACACACAGCACACAGGAAACTTTTTAAAGGTCCAGACTCAACAGCCATGGCAAAAGGCAGGCTGCTGCAGCAAGCAGTGCCAGCAGCAAGCCTCAAGTCTCTGCCTCCTCCGTCTCCAGCCTTCTCCTGCCGCAACTGTCGGCCTGTCTTTATTGAGCCAGAGTAGAAACATCTCAGAACAATGGTTTAATTTGCACAAGGAGGTAGAGGAAGAGGTGTGACCCCCACAAGCTACCCCACCTGCTGTCACAAACAAAAGGAGATGAACTTGCGAGTTCTCTGCCATTAGTAAAGGCCTGCTAAAAGCCATCTCTCTACCGAGATTTAAATATTAAAGCCGGCCCTTGGAGTCATGGCTCCTGACAGTCTAAGTAGCTCAGGCTAGCCTTAAAACTCAAGGTACACCTGCCTGCACCTTTTCCTCCTGGGATCACAGACCAGCACCACCAGGTGACATTTCTTAGAGCAGAGGTAGACTGTTATAAAGTAACTAAATTTAACTTGCAATCAGTCATGTGGACAGGCAGACTACAGCTGCCCTCACAGTCCTTGAGACACTCATTTCAGCCTGGGCATCAGAGCAACACTGTTATTTACAATAGTAAATAAATAAGCTTAGGGTACAGCTCCTGCTTAGTCTATGTAAGTTGGACGGAGTTTCCCACACCAAAACCAAACCAAGAGTCACACACCCACGTTTCTGAATAATTATCTAGCCATCTACAGTGAGAAACATTGAATTTAAATACAATGTAGAATTCTAGAAAAAACTGAGTATTAGGAGATTCTGAAAAGACGGTAAATATTTCGTGTTTTACGAATAAACCTGGGCTAGCGAGACGGCTCAGTGGGTAAGAGTGCTTGCTGAGCAAGTGTGGCACCCCGAGTCTGGATCCCAGAACCCAAGAGATGCCATGTGTGCTTGTAACCCCAGTGCTGTGAGGTAGAGACTGGAGGATGGCTGAGGGCATGCCGGACAGCAGCAACCAGGTTCCTGTCTCAAGGAAATAAGGCAGAGAGTGAGACACCAGGACACCCGGCATCCTCCTGTGGCCTTGACACACGCACATACACATAACCCACGCTCACACACAGGCATGACTAAATCCAGAGTCTCAAATACTAAAGTAAAGCCGTATTTGTAAAGTTTCTTCTATTCAGGTCCAATTCCATATTACTTAGTGGATACATGTCGACCACTTTGGTGATTCAATATGTAAACTGTGAATAATAAAACACAACTTGGTAAATATAGAACAAAAATGCTTTCATCTTCTTGCTAACCTAAGGAATTATCTAGTTCTTTAGCTTGCAAAACCATCGTGGATTTGGGTGGAAATTCCAGCCAGCTAAAGTAAGGGAGCTGTTGTGAAGGTGACGCTGGCTTAGATCCCCTGGCTCATCATGTCATGAGCGCCCTCGTCTCTTCTCTCACATGTCAGTGCCAGCTTCCTGAGAAGTGACAGTCAAAACATCAACTAACTGCAGTGATCACAGAAACACAACCAGACATAACCTAGTCTTTTGGTGGTGATTTGAGTCAGTCGTCAGTCATGGATACAGGCTACTTCTGCCCTGCCTGCGCTCATTATCAAATGGTATGCTGTGGGATTTAACACAGACTTTAATAAACACGGATTAGTGTACACTTTCACCTCTAGGAAATTCTGAGATCAAACAAATAAACCAGTATTTTGAGATCAAGTAGAATTCAGTAGTGTATTTAGGACTTTAATTATAAACTTTTAAATTCTAGCTAATTTGGAATTCTTTATCATGAAAATCAAGTATTATCATCTGACAAAATTTGGTTTATCTGGAATGAGTATCTTGATCCAGTTTCATGCTTTGGAGACTTTTTCTTTCTTTCTTTCTTTTTTTTTTTTTTGGAGACAGGGTTTCTCTGTGTAGCTTTGGCTGTCCTGTTCTCATTTTGTAGACCAGGGCTGGCCTTGAACTCAGAGATCTGCCTGCCTCTGTCTCCCAGAGTGCTGGGATTATAGGTGTGAGCTACCTTCCCCAGCTTTTGCAGACTTTTGAACTGAAAATTTAACAGCCCGCATCTTTCAAAAAATGTATAAACCCATGTTTTGCAGAACACTGAACATAAAAAATTGTACAAGGACACTTTAGCTTTTGTGTCATGAGCATGGTGTGTGTGTCTGAATCGACCTTCAGGGCAACATGATCAGCCCACTGTACCACACAAAGATAAAGTCAAGAGGTGCTCTTAGGGAAGAAGTTACCAGAGGGGAAATCTGACTGCTGTGATCACTCACAGTCAGTGTGACTCCTCTTGGACTGGCAATTATATTGCCTACGAGAAATAACAGACCGGAACCAACCACCGTACTGATGATGATGATTCAACCTACGCACAGCTCTTTGTTCTAAACGAGACCATATTCTATGGCTGTGGACATTCAACACTTATAGAGGAGTCTAAATCAATGCCTCCCCCAAACTACCCATTTTTAACAGCTGGAGTTGATGAAAGTGGAACCCTCATCAATACTTAAATTAAACTTAAATATGTAAATATGAATTGGCATTATATAAATGACAGATTGTGCATACATGCCAACACACAGATTCTGCCCTAATGGAGCCCATTATAAATAATTTGTTGGCTAGCTATCACATCTTTAAGGATCTGTAGATGGTGGCCCAAAGGGCCATCCCGTCACTGCTGGCCCAGAACAGTCAGGCACTGGGGTCAGCTCTGCTCCTGGACTAGCGGAGTGGGGAGGGCTGGGCCCGGCTCTTGAGTCAGCTGCAGGTGCTGACCTGGATCTGCAGTGCCCGCTGCTAACTGGAGTGCCTCCGTTTGCTCTTGGTGGGCATGAAGACGCTCGAGTGTTTCCTTGGAAAGTGTGATTACATGCACTGGCTCAGTCTGTGAGGACTCCATCTGGCTGCCGATCATGCTGAGGCTCTGAATGTGCTCTGTTTGCTCCTGCTGAGCTGAGAGAATCAGGCTCTGCAGCTGTGTGGGCTGCTGTGTGAGCAGGGTGAGGTTAGCAGCCGGGTCCGTGGCCATGTTCTGAGAGCTCTCAGCAGCTACGATGCTGACCCCCTGGTTGGGACCTGACATGAAGTTAATGTTATGCACAGAATCAGTTACAAGAAGCTGAATCTCCTGTTCTCCTGAGGTGGAGAGTTGGTATGGCTGCAGCTGAAGAATGTTCCGGACCTCATCAGCACCACTGCCAGAAACACTGCTGGAATCTGATGCGTGCTTCTCTTTGCTGTGGATTTTCAAGTGAGCCTTCAAATTGTCTAAGCGAGCAAACTGTAAGCTACACTCAGGGCAGGAGAAAGGCTTTTTGCCCGTGTGCAGGATGCAGTGTCTCCTCTTGGCACTGGAGTCAGAGAAGCATTTGCCACAGATGCTGCAGGAATATGGCTTTTCTCCTCTGAAAGAAAACACACAGAAGTACTTGTTTTCTACCTCCTGGTCACTTAGGCAGAAGCAATCAACAGTAATGGATGGGTAACTCTGTACTGGCCCCTGGGTGCTTACTGTCTCTTAACGCCAGTACCCAAATCCATGTCAAAACCAACTCTAATTCTGCTTCACACCAAAAACAAAGATTCGAAAGTCATGGGTTCTCCTACCAACTTAGGGACTTGGAGTGACCCATTTCCATGTGCTTCAAGTCTCAAAAATAAAAACGGGCTAAAAAGAGGCTAAGGTAGGGTGGTAGATGGGACAGGGCTACATGGGCTGAAATTTTATAATTTTATTATTATATATTTCAGATAAGAACATAAACATAGCTGGGGGTGGTGGCGCACACCTTTAGTCCCAGCACTTGGGAGGCAGAGGCAGGCGGAGCTCTGTGAGTTCCAGGCCAGCCTGGTCTACAGAGCGAGTCCAGGACAGCCAGAGCTACCCAGAGAAACCCTGTCTCGAAAAACAAAAAGAGTATAAACATTTTGTACTGCATGAACAGTTCTATTTTGGTTTTAGTTCTTACTGCTTCTTTTTAGACTGTAAAGGCCAAACAGGTATGTATATATTATGGTTAATATCAATATTAAAAATTCAAGTAGCTCCAAATTATTTTTGAAGCTTTTAGAAATATACTTAAATCCAACCTGGAAGTAATTTTTCTGAACAAACCATTTGTTAAAAAATACTTTTTCAGCTGGAGAGATGGCTCAGAGGTTAAGAGCATTGTCTGTTCTTCCAAAGGTCCTGAGTTCAATTCCCAGCAACCACATGGTGGCTCACAATCATCTATAATGAGATCTGGTACCCTCTTCTGTTGTGCAGGCAGAATACTGTATAAATAATAAATAAATAAATCTTAAAAAAAAAAAAAAAAAAAAAAAAACCTTTTTCTTTTGGATGGAATTTTCCTAGGTAGTCCAGTTTGGCCTCAAACTTTTTTTTTTCTTTTTTGGAGACTGGGTCTCTCTGTGTATGCTTGGCTGTTCTAGACTAGCTATGTAGACCAGGCTGGCCCCAAACTCACAGAGATCTGCCTGCCTCTGCTTCCCTGAGTGCTCGGATTACAGGTGTGTGCCACTGAGCCCTGCTGTTTGGACTGAAACTCTTGTGTCCTGCCTCTGCCTAGCAGGTGCTGGGGTTGTAGGCATATACTATCATGATCAACTCCAGATAACATTTTTTTTCAGACAAGCCTCCCCTGCCTCCATCTTACATACATGAAGATGCAGCGCCACCTCTGGCTTTTACATGAGGGCTGGAGATCTCAACAAATCCTCATTCTTATGCAACTAACAATTTATTCACTGAGCCACCTCCCCACACCTTAATGTTTATTTCTGATTGAAGATTTAAGCTTTAGACTACCCTCCCCCAATAAAAATTAAATAATGAAACCAATAATGCAAGTTTTACTGGCCAGAATCAACATTGCTAATTTTGCCTAAGTGAGAAATTTAATTATTGCAAAAATAAAATGATAAAACACATAGAAAGTTCTACATATTAACAACTAGAGAAAAGGCTGTTGTAGGTTACATAGGTCACCCCATAAAACACTAGAGTTCAAGCAGGCCACCAAGTGACAAAAATACCTGTGCAAATTTATTGAGGAAGCCAGGAGTGGTGGCTTACACCTGCCATCCCAGTGCTCAGAGCAGAGACGGAAAAGGCCCATGAGCCAGAGAGCTATGTCCTGTCTCACCCAAACCCAAACCAGCTTACCGGTGGATTCTGATGTGGGTCTGAAGGGAACTCTTTGCTGTGAAGGATTTCCCACAGATTTCACAGGTAAATGGCTTCTCGCCTTAAAAGAAGGAAAAAAGAGGAAAGCATTTGTAAGTACACAGCTGACATTAAAAAACAACAACCCAAACCATGTTACTTTCACAAAGGCAAACTCTCTGTGAGAGGGCAAGAAGTATCACCAGCTGGGCCTCTATACCTGAGCTCAGTGCACTGCCAAAAGGATGCAGAGGAAGGGTGGCCCCTTTCCTTGAAAGCTCACACAGAAGCTGCTCAGATGTGGGGAATGAAAGCACTCGTGTTTACTCCTGTGCTTTCTAACACTGACACTTGCCCCTGCAGAACTATGGCTAGGTGACCCACTAGGTCCTGTGCATTAGGGTTTAGTATTCACATTCCAAATATGTGCACAGTCTGACCATTTCCCTCTTGGATCACAGCAGCTTCCAAAAGGGCCTACTGCTTCCTGGCTATACACTATCAACAAGGCAAACAGTGAGTGGGGGCCTCTCCACACTGACAGACCATTTCAGCAAATGCTCTAATGGCCCCATCTGGAGACAGCAGCCAAAGCTTTAGACTACAACAGGTCACAGATCTTCACACACACACACACACACACACACACACACACACACACACACACAGTCCAGTCCAGAAACCCTGACGAACTACCCAGGGGTAATGTAAGTGCTAGACTTCACTACTCCATTGACAGCAGCAAATGTTCATGCAGCAGTGGACTCTCAAGCCCCCAGAGGCAAAGCACAGGGATCCTAATGTAGGTGAGAGGAGTTTGAAAAAAGCTAGCAGCAACATCTGGCCTTACTAGAGAACAGCAGAGACAAGGCCAAACTGAGATGCTCTTTGAGATTAGACCTCCAAGCTCCACCAGGCAGGCGACTGATACATGAGACAAGCTGGGTAACTCAGCATGCTCACATCGGCAACTCTGATTATGCCAAAGGTTAAGACCAGGTGGCTTTCTAATCAGAGCTGGGGCCTATCAGACCTTGGTCAGTGTCCACCTCTCATGTGGACATGCTCTACTCGTGTTTTAAACACACAGAAAGTTGGCAATATTTTTTTACACAAGGTCTTATTATGTAGCCCGGACTGGCCTCAAACTCACAGAGATCCATTCACCTCTGCCTCTGAGTACTAGGATTAAAGGCATTCCTCACCGTGCAGAACCCCAAGAACTTATTAATTACAGTTCAGGACAGTGGGAAGAACAGAGTTCAGGGACCTGCATCTGGTTAGGGCCTTCCTGCTGTACCTCTCATGACAGAAAGTGGAAACGAAGACACTGGAGGGAGCAGGGAAGAAGGCTAAACTCCTTATTAGTGATCCACTGACCCACTAACAGTATTGCTCCATTCATGACAGTCTGTTTAACAATTTTATCAGCTATTAAGTTTCCAACGCTTGAGGTTGTAGGACACATTCAAACCATAACATTGCTAAGGTCTTTTGACACCCTGGCTTCTGGTCTGTTCTGTGTAAATCTTACCTCCTCCAACCCAGGGCCCCTTCCTCCCTTTTATTCAGTTCTGAAACACCGACAGGCCATCAGCAAAGTGTACAGCTAGAGAAGTAACAAAAGAGATGAGCACTGCGTCGGGCTAGGAGACCTGCAGTGTGCTTGACTAACTGCTGAAAGGAAATGCTGGTATTAACAGCACTAAGAGTAGACAGGATGCTGGAAGGATGTGGAGGTGCCAGGATCATGACAGACTAGAGGGACCTGACAGCATACTAGTATAAGTAGAACCAAAATGCTAGGAGGGACAAGGACACATTCTGAGGAGTGGTGGGCCCAAAGAAGAGCCACCGATTCCAGGAAGAGGTTTAGGTAGAAAGATGAAGAAAGATGAAATGCTCAGAGAGTGCCATAAGGTGGGCTGGAGGGGGGATTTCCTGTCAGACTATGCATAAGGTACTGAGGCCTGGGTCAGGAGATGCAGGAGTATAGAGGAATTTTAATTTAGAACATGGCTGCTCTGGCAAGAGATCACATCCACAGACCTTCTAGGTTCATGTGATCCAGGTGGAATATAAACACATCTTTAATCCCAGGAGACAGAGGCAAGCAGATCTCTGTGCTCAAGGCCAGCCTGGTAAATACCGAAAAGCTTCTGTCTAGGTGTGTTGGTAGTCACCTTTAATCCCAAACAATGAAGGTAAAGTTAGTTTGTAGAAGGAAGCACCCATGTTTGAAAGTGAAGTCTAACTGAATGGGAGAAAAAGTGAACCAGAGAAGATTCGACAGAACAGAGAGGAAAGGGAAGCTACTTAAGGGGCAATGCAGAAAGAGAGGAGGCAGTTTTACCAGGGCAGTAATAAAGAAACAGGTTGCCGAGAGAAAACTCAGGTGGAGACCAATTGAGCTGGAGAATAAGAAGAAGCCAGGAGATTAGAGCAGATTGCTGTAGTTAGAGGCCAAGCAGAGCCAGAAAAGCCAGATTGTGTTAAGTTAGCTGGGAGAGGAGTTTGAGCCCGAACACCTGAATTGAACCAGCCAGCCCAGAGCTCAGTAAGAACAAGAAAGGTTGAGCTTATTAACCATTAAGACTCAGAGGCAGAAAACATTCTCATCCTAGGTTAGATTGTACAGAGGCTGGAAGCTTCCAGGACTAGGCCTGGGTTAGCAGAATGAGGACAACAACTGAAACAGGCAAATAAAAGTTCCTTTTACACAGGAGACAGATGGAGAGAGGTTAAAGGGGAAATGTCAGGGCTTGGGTAGCAGAGATCAGTAGGAAGTCTGTTACAGAAGGGTTGGACAGGGACAAAGGTAAAGACAGACATGAGGATGACTCAGGAACGTGTGGGCGGAGCTGACTTAGCTCCAGGGGATCCATCCATGACTGTGGCCTGGTTTCCTACTTTTTGTCAAACAAGCAATGGATATTTTGTCCCAAACCAATGAGCGCATCTCTTTATCCACTCTGCTGACCTAAAGATTCTCTCTCTGGTCTGCTATGCACCTATTCCCAGGCCCTTCTTTCTCTGCCCATCCACCCAAGGCTGCTCAAATTCTTTTCAAACACAAATAAAGACATTCCCTCTTCCAGCTCAGCTGCTGCCTGCTGTCACTGGTTCTCCCCACCCCACTGGTTCACTGCAAACAGCTAGGCTTTCACATCCTCATATTTCACCACGCCTGACTGGGACTTACCGACAGGCTTCCTGAGTCACCCACCACACTGCCTCTCTGATTCAGGTCTCCCTCCGCTCTGGGGAATAAGAGCCATTCTCCTTTCTATGGGTCCATCACACTGCACCGAGATTCTTAATGGATACATATAGATTCTGCAAGGACATGACATCCTGAGGGGGCCCAGAGCGCAGGAAAACTGGAATAAGCAAGGTAGGGTCATCTCAACACACAGGCAGAGAAACTTTGGAAGCTTTGTACCTAACCTACAGAATGAGACTGTGAATTAAACCATGACTTCATGAGCTTTGCCATGTGACTAGGCAAGATAGCCACATTAGCATCAGTATAGAATCAGTATTTCTCTAACACCATCTAAGGGACAGCGATGCTGGAGAGGTGGAAGGGCTCTGTCCACAGAGATCACTCACAACTCACAGTAAGGCAGCCAGTTCCTGGGACTTGACTGCAGCACACTAAACAATGTTCCAATCTCTTATCAAGTTTCTGGGCACACTGCTGTTGGGAAAGGGTGATAAGGACAACAGAAAAGCATAGTCCGTGGTGGTAGTGCACACCTAAAATCCCTGCACTCAAGATGCTGAGACAGGAGGACCGTGAGTTCTCATAGCAAGATCCTTTCAAAAGAACAGAACCACCAACAAGCAAGCAGCCCGTCCCTTGTCAGCCTGGCTTTACTACGTCCCTAGGAGCCTGTTCTGCCCCAGGCCAGGGAAAAGACCCGGTTATGAGACATGAGCCAGTTTCCTCTCACACAGCCCCAGCATCGCCGGCTGCACACTTAACACGCTGACATCCTCCTGAGGGTGTCAGAGATCTATGGTGCCTTTGGTCTCCAGTGCTCTTTGAATGGCCTCTCCCTGGAGAGAGTGTGCAATGGAAAAGCTAAGAAACAAATGACAGTCCAGGTTTCCAAACTAAGAGTGGGTATGCTGGCAAAATCGCATTACATTCTGGTTCAGGGTAACTGCTGATAGCTCTCAACACCACTGAACTGTTAGAGACACACAGGCCATACAAAGAGCCCCAATATTATGATGGATTTTGTTTACTCCCCTGCTTCCCTCTCACCCCAGGATTTTTTTTTTTTTGCATTTTAATGAAGAAAGAAACAAACTCACCACACATACTGCACTTTCTTCTGAGATGGGCTCATTTTATTGTTATAACAGAGAGATGCCTCCTTTCTACCCCCAACACAAGGACTACTTGCTCATAAAAAACACAAGTCTTGTCAAGTACCGTAGCCCACACCTGTACTCTTAACACTCAGGAGGCTGAGGCAGGGGACTCCCAATGAGTTTATGCTAGAAGCAGCTCCTTTCCTGTACTGTTCAACAACTGGCCCACCTCAGCCCTGTACCATCCATCTAGTTTTCCAGGGATTCCAGTTCTTTGAAGCCTCACACACTATTACAGTCACGTGTCAGCATGTAGTCACAGACTGGCCTGTAGCTCCCCCTGGCCTTCAGGCTCACATATCACCTACTCCATACCAGCACTGACCTTCCTCAGACCGAGTGTGCCCCAAAGCTATCTACTGGTTTGTTTCTCCCAGCTGCTTTCTCCTCTCCCCCACGTCTAACTATGAGCAAAGCATGCTGCCTCTTCTCAGAGTCTGTCCAACCAGGCCCATTTGTTGTATTTCCTACTGCCATGGCACTGTACCAAGTCCCCATGGCTGTAACATCCTAAGAGTCCCGATGCTTGATATGGGAAGTGTTATTACTAAAACTCAGCCATACCATATCACTTTTCTGGGCAAGGCCACGCGAGTCTTCACTGTGGCCTCCAGTTAACCTAGCATGCTCAACAGAATCATGAGAGTTGGGGTCTGGGTAGGGTGGAGGACTTCTGAGGCTCTATCCCAGCCAATTCAGTCGCAAGCTCAGGGCTAAAATCAGAATTTTGTCTTTTGTTTTTCAAAAAGCTTCTCAACTGTTTGAAATGTGAAGCTATAAACAAAACTATACCACATGGCCTCCTGTTGTCCCTGTGGTCTACTCACCATGCTTCCTTCTCATGCATCCTGGTGTTGGGGTAACCTTTTTAGCCACACTGTGTGAAGGTGTGTCCCTGTATTTTCAACTGTTACTTCTAGACCGGCAGAGAACTGAGTGTTGGGAGGATCCTGGTCCCAACATATCTATGGCCCATCACTGGGCTTCTTTTTTATAAATATCTGTCCTTCCTTACCTGCCTAATGACAATCTAGAATTGTGTCAGAGGTATCTCACCGCTGATGGACTGTGACGAACTGCAGTGGAGCAGAGAGGTATAAAGCTAGCCATGTGGTGGATAACAGGCTAGAATAATTGGGTTAAGTCAGAAGAGCTAGCTGGGAGACTCCCCTGGGGAAAGGCCTATACTGTAAACTCTACAGAAGACTCTGTCATTAGTTATGTTGCTGGTGGGTCTGAGGAAGACCTGCCATATGCTGACTCTTGCATCCTGTCTGAGAACTTTGAACCTGCCGTATCTCCATCTCGGATCTTCTCCCCTGCATATCCAGTGTCTACCTCACTCCCTACCACATTCTGGTTTCCACCCAAGAGGCTCCCATTCCTGAGACTTTCCCAGGTCCCACACAGAAAGATGCACCCTTCCCACACCTGTTTTCCTACTCCACATTGTGCTTCCATGCCACACCACAAATTTACCTTCATGTTTGCACTCTGTCTCCCTGTTCAAATGTTGATGTCACACCACAAGTTTACATCTTTATCTGGCCTGAGTTGAAAACAGTGCCTGGTACTCAGCAAATGTTCAGTGAATACATACTCAACGGCTGCATTAAATTTCACAGACTCTACTGTTGACAATATCCATGGAGGTAAAGGGAGCCAGTGAGATAGTTTGGTGGGAAAAGACACCAAGCCCAAGGACCCAAATTTGATAACCAACACCCACACAGTGGAGGAAAACAACTCCTCTGACTCCACTTGTATGTTGTGGCACATGTGCACAGATAGCTATACACACACAAACACATACACTGTCATTGTTAAAATTAAGAACGTACAGAGCTAACTTTTATAAAATTCACCCACCCCTTAGAATTTCCTAACTGCTTAGGTGTCTGCAGAAATGGCCCAGAGATTAAAAGCACTGACTGCTCTTCTAAAGGACCCAGGTTCAATTCCCAGGACCCCCATGGAAGCTCACAACTCTGGTCTCCATGAGTACTACACGCATCTGGTACAGACATATATGCAAACAAAGCACCCTCATACATAAAATTAAAAAATCTCAAAAAGAGTTTTAAAAAAAAACTGCTTGGAGTCAGAAAAAGAACAATTTTTTCCAGATCTTAGAAAATTCTCTTACACACACACACACACACACACACACACACACACACACACACTATTTTAGAGAGGGGATCATGTCTATAAAATTCATCCTGTTTCACATAACCCTCCAAGCCTGGTTTACCTGCATTCTGAGTACGCTCTATCCCATGAGGACAGGTGTGGCATTTTCCACTGTGGTGTCACCCTGACACTCAGAAACTCTGGGATATGGAGCATTTTGGGACTTGGGATGTTTCTGGTCTGACACTTGGATAATGATATTTAATCTCCACTAGCTTTTCTTAACAGTTAAGAAATACTAACCTGCAATCAAAGTCCAAAGTACCCAAAACTAAACTACTCTTTTTGTTTGTTTTTACTTTTTGAGACAGGGTTTCTCTGTGTAGCCCTGTCTGTCCTGGAACTCACTCTGTAGACCAGGCTAGGCTGGCCTCGAACTCAAGAGATCCACCTGCTTCTGCCTCCTAAGTGCTCAGATTAAAGGCATGCCTGTCCAGCCTAAATTGCTTAATATTAGTAGACAACTTGATAGAATCAGTAAATAATCCAGATTAATAGAAACCTTTTCTTGTAAAAATCTCATTTTAACACCTATTCCTATCACAAGGTACAAGACGGACAGTCTGACTTCTATGAATTTAAAATCAATGCTGCCTTCTCCTCATTCCTCTCTCATTGAGAGGTGCTGATTTCACACTTGGGGAGTACCTGTTGGTTCCAGAGGACAGAGTGAGGAATTCTGTATCTTTGTGTTTTCTTTTCTAAGCAATTTATTATCACCTTCAGTGCTGAAGTAGCTGACAGTGAAACTCAGATACAGACCGACGCTCACACTGCTATGAAATTACATGAATTTTCACATATGAACAGAGTTCATCCAGTGATCTCCATTTTGGGCTGACTTACAATGGGACATAATGTTCCCACACAACAGTGATGACAGCATTTTGCCTTTACTTTGGGCTTCCAAATAAAACTCATCAAACTTGTTCCGCATTCGCAACAAGCATACCAAAGACAGGCGGAGGACATCAAGTACAGCAAGGAAGTTGGATGGGGTGCTGTGTTACCTGTGTGTGTTCGCAGATGTTTCTTTAGCTGAGACACATCCATAAATTTTCGATGGCAGTGGTTGCATTCTGGTAGTGAGTGGCCTTGCCGCAACAATAAAAAAAGTGTCAGTGCATGTATGTTCTCCCTGCATTTCTTCAGTGATTTGTGTTAAAGCACTTCCCTGAAAAATAACCACTTTAAATATGGCACTTTATCAGCAACAATAAACGTTATTATCTGACTACCTCAGCTCAGTGCTTCTCTGAGAGCCAGGGTCCTCCTAACTGTTCTAAACACCCTTCTCTCCAAACACTGCGATGCTCAGTTGAACCCGAATGCTGTCACTCCTCCCACTCCCCTTCCTTTTTTTTTTTTTTTCCTCTCCAAGGCAGTTTTTCTCTATAGCCTTGGCTGTCCTGGAACTCACTCTGTAGACCAGGCTGGCCTTGAATCCAGAGATCTGCCTTTTTCTGCCTCCTGACTGCTGGGATGAAAGGCATGTGCTTCCCTTCCTTTCTTATCAGTTAGCAGGAAGGAGAATGGGACATTTAGCAGATCAGAAGCCACGGGTGAGACATCTCTTTCCAGGTGGCACTAACAGCAGCCAATCAAGTGAAGCCTCTTGGGCAAACAGCACTCTTGATATAGCAGTTCTGTGGTTCTCTACATGGTTCCAACATTTGCAAACAGTAAACTGAATCTTACGGTAGTGCAGCATAATATGGTATCTTTTTTTTTTTTTAAAATAGTCTCAGGCATCCATCCTATGAAGGCCTTAAATGCATTACATACCTGAGGATGATTCTGAACTTCTAATCCTCTTGCCTCCATCTCTCAAGCACCAGGTTAACAGATGTGTGCTCCCATGCCTAGTTCTATGTGGCACTGGGGACTGAACCCAGGGCTTCATTCACACTGGGTAAGCTCCCTACAAAATGAGTCAGTCGTATCCCTAGCCCAGATGGCTTTTCCAGTTCTTTCATTTACTCTGTTAGACCAACCTACCGGTTCACAAATACTGTGTATCTCATTTCCCCCAGCAATAGCATTCTCTAACCTTATTGGCATCATACCTGTATGGACTCGATAATGGCTCTTTAGCTGTCTTTTCTGGCTGAAATACTTTCCACACTGATCACAGGTAAAAGACTTCTGCCCTGCCAAATAAAAAATAAAACACTTAAACCATGCCCCGAACTGCATAGAAGTAGAATGCTCATTAAGAAGTTAATAACAGTGCCCAGGTTCCTCTGTTCTACTGGTGATGTGTCTTGTCTATACACCCAGAAGCCTTTCCAGAGTGTGCAAAGCAATAGGGAGTGGTGGGGACTGGAGGAGAAACTGAGGTTTCAATGGTTCCCCAAGGCATACAAAAAGAATTCTAAACTCTAGTGTTTAAGCAAAACACATTTAAATGCAAACTGCAGTAGCCAGTAAGCTCTAGCTAAAGGCAGCTGCTGTTCAGAACAGCCTATCAGAAGGTGCATATTCTTGTCTTTTGGTGACACCACGTGGTAAATGACACCGGGCTGAGGAGATACCATTTACAGGCCAGAAATGCCCACCCGGCAAATGAGAACCCAGTGGCTGGGGGCCCGCTAGCGCAAGCCCTGTCACCTGAGTGCAGGCTCATGTGCTCCAGCAGCGAGTGCTTGGTGGTCAGCGCCTTGCCGCACACGGTACAGGTGTATGGCCGCTCCCCGGTATGCATCCTGGTGTGGACCTGCAAGGAGTGTTTCTGCGCAAAGCCCTTTCCGCACTCATTGCATTTGAAGGGTCGTTCCCCTGCAGTCAAAGCCAAGAAGCGTGGTGTAAGCCAGACCTGTGTGTTTTTCTTTTCCTTCCAAAGAATCATTCATAATGTTAGGTATTTAGGGCAAACATTCAAAGTTCAGTGGATAGGTGAGCTGTCAGCAGTAGAAGTCTATAGAGCGGAATTGAGGAAATCAAAACCCACAGGCAGAAGCTGTGAGGTGCAATCTAATTTGTAGACTCAGCCTCCAAGAGGTGTAAGAAGCAGCCCCACCTGTGGAGTGGGTAAGGACAAGGGACTTAAAGGCAAGGTCAGCACCTACACTCACTCTTCCATTCCACACACCAAGAAAACTAATGTCTCCCCACCTGCCACCAGAGGATGGAGACTGTTCTCTCAAGAGGGCAGAAGGTCATCCAGATAGGTGGTTACCTGGGCAGCCCAGTGGCATACTCCAGGAAGGAAAAGTCAAAGTCTTTTTAGGGATAAGGATAGCCCTCTTCCCGGAAGGCCTGACAGATGCCCAAGGCAGGCATCTGTAATGAGGAAGTGGGGTACAGCCACACCCCGCCAATGAGGCCATTTCTTCACAGGCTGTCTTCATATCCAATTGCTTCTAGTGCATATGTTATCACTGCATTTGGGGCTGGAGACATGGCTCTGCTCTGACAGAGGACCCTAGTTGGGTTCCCAGCACCAAGAGGGGGTGACACCCAATCATCTGTAACTCTAGTTCCAGGAGATCTGACTGATGCTCTCTTCTGGCTTCCCTGGGTACCAGGCATGCAGATGGTGCACATGCATACATACATACATACATACATACAGGCAAACGCTCATACAAAGCAGCAATGTGTAGAAAACATCAAGTACACAGGGCACCGTGGCACATGTCTGTAATACCAGCATTTGGGGGGCTGAGACAGGAGGATCATGATTTCAGGGTCAGATCATGTCTCAAAACAAAACTAAATTAGATTGGGGCTGGGGATTTTGTTCAGGTGTAGGACATTTGTCCAAGGAAGTACAAGGCCCTGGGCTGGGGCTCTAGAACTGGAAAAGTAAGTTACAAAGATAAAAAAGGGGGGAGGGGTAGAAATAGCTACACAGAGGCTGAGGAACACAGTGGCAATCTCACATAAAATAAAGCACAGGTGGAAAATACAGGTGAAAAATAAGGAAGTTACAATTTGGGTCCAGGAAAATCAAACAGCAGGAGTTCTGGAGAGAAAGAAAAGTAATGGGTGATGGATGACTTAAGAAAGTTTTGTGGAATGACAGTCTTCTGATTTACCTAATATATACCGAAGAAAGAGCATGCATAGCAAGGCTGACTGCAGAATTTCAGAAACCAGGAGGGATGAAGTAGAGATCTCACAAGCTGTTTTCCCTTAAGTAAGTTTTACTGAACGACATAATGCTTTAAATCATGTACAACCTGGCTAAAATGCAACCTAGTGTTAGAATCCGTTAGTTACAGAGCCCATTAGACAATAAAATAGAACCCACCACAGTTCAACACATATTGGAGATTTTGTTCTGTTCAAAGTACCATAATTCAAGTTTTCAACATACATAATCCCTGGGGAGCTTTCTTTCCCCATGTAGCCCAGGCCTGCCTTGTAGCCAAGGAGGACCCTGAATTTCACATCCTCCTGTCTCCACTTCTGGAGGGGCATAAAACACACCACACCTTGCCCAGTTTCTGTGGTGTTGGGGAGTAAAGCCATACCAGGCAAGCACTCTCAACTGAGCTACATCCCTGTGAAATTTCAAACACGGATAATCCGGACAAGTAAATCAGAAAGCTGGCTGTGGGACACAGGTGGCTATGGAGGCTCTCCAGGTGGTTTTAACAAGCAAGCTCAGAAACACAGCAACAGCTGCTGCAAGGCCATGTGACAGCAAGAGGCTGGATGAGAGAAAACGCCAAACACTTGCCTCTCTACGTAAGCTTACAAGAGCCAGCTGCAACTCGACCTGAGATGGGGTGAACGGAACAGCTCAAAAAAGGGCTCAAGGACTGCCAGGCTGGTGATAACACTGTCCCATGTGGTAGCCACCAGACACATATGATCACCCAAACTTATGTTAGCGGCAACAAAATTAAAATTCAGTTTCTCAGTCTAGCTAGCTACAATTCAAGTGATCTGACTTCTCTGTCACTTGATACAGCTCAGTTGTAAACTGCTTGCGTTGACATGCTACATGCGTGTCTAGGTGACCCCGGGTTCCATGTCCGGTACCGGAAGAGGAAAAAAGGTCCACATGTTGTCAGTGGCTACCATATTGGCCAGATGGAGAGAACAATAGGCATTTCAATCACACGGGGGAAACTAATGGCCACTGCTGAGTCAGATATCCAAAACGAGAGAACATTTACAAGATGGTTAAACTATAAAGATGTCTATAGAACAGAGCAAGAGAATGCTTCCCCAAAGATGAGAAACAGTCACGAATCAAAGGGCAGGAGGTGCTTGATAACTTGGTAAGAAAAAAAAAAAAAAAAAAGGGAAGGGCTCTGAATCGGGCTTGCTGGACCATCCTGACCTGAGCGAGCCTGAACTAATTTAAGACCATCTCCTCAGCTATACACTGAGGATATTAACTACTGTGGGATTACTATGAGACCTAAATATAATATGTAAGAAGGCTTTATTGCACCGCCTTGCACGTAGAAACTGAACAATGAACAAACACTGTCACAACCACAATTCAAACTTCCCCACCCAACTGCTCCAAGCTTGGAAAGCGTAGTTACCCGTGTGGCGTCTCTGGTGGATTGCTAAAAAATGATTATACTTAAAGACTCTGCCGCAGTCTTTACACCTGGCCTCGGGGCCACTGGAGTGCTTTTTTCTTCCACATATCCTCTTGGCTGCACCCTGGTCCTCTTCATCTCCAGTAAGTTTGTAATCTTTAAGTTTGACAGACCTCCGAATCCTCCGCTTGCTGTACCTACTCTGGCTATCTGGTCCATCCAGGGCCTTGGGGTCACAGTTCTCATCTTTTTCAGCAGGCATCTCCTCCACTCTACCTGCCTCACTGGCAGGCTCCAATTCCTTTTCTTTTGGCAGTTGTTCATTCACTTCGACAGCGTCTCCTTCGCTGACAGCAAAGTTTTGTCTATTCTGAACAGAATTGTTCACTCTCAGCTGCATCTCTCCCTCTGTGGCTAGCTCTGATTTCCCCTCCTGCAAACTACTGGCTTTTCTTGGCCTTCCCCGTTTCCGTTTCAGAGGATCATTCTTCTTGTTAGAAATAACAACCACGGGCGTACCGGTGCCATTCAAAGCCGGTGGCTTTGGGGAGCTATCGTTATTCTGGAAGTCAGTGTAAGCCTTTACCAGATCATAGACTTTTAAGAACTGAGCAGTAGCCAGGATTTGTTCTGTAGTTTTCTCACTGGCATGTAGATAGCCGGTATAGATAAATTCCAGCAGGATACCGAACGTGTCTGCGACCATGCCTTCCAGCATATAAATGGACTGGCCAATCTCCCCCTCTTCCGCAAACATCATTGAGAAATACTCGCTACTGGCAGCAAGTAAGGCCTTGTGGGCTCGGAAATGCACGTTCTCCACGATTAAGGTAATATCACAAAGAAAGCCTTTCTTCCTCTGATCCTCAAGACTAGCCAGGACAGTGTCACTGTGGGTGTCCGAGTGTACAACAAGCTGCCCGCAAGGCTCCGGTGCTGTCTCCGCCATTTTCTCCCAAAAGACGCTGAAGAGGCTTAAATCTGAGATGAGAAAACAAGATTAACTTGGGAACAAGGACTGTCTAACAAGACCGTTCGTGTGCCACCTGTTAACCTGAACCAACTTGGTAATTACCACCTCATAAAGTCTACTTGGGAACCCAGGCCTTGGGTTCTCATCCCGCCGGATGCCTCGCCAGTATCCCTGGGACCTCTTACGGTCTGGACTTTCCTCTGGAAATTACAGAATGGGATCAAAATAAATCTGTCCGGCCCTCCCTTATATTAACTTTGTCACTGAACTTTCAAAATGTGGCGGCACGACGTCGGAGTTGGGGCTGTGTCGCCTCGATGCCACGCACGAAAAGCTGTTTCGTCTGTGGGAACGAAACTGAGAAACATTAAAAGGACCCGCGTAGGGGAGCATCTAGCGGTGAAACGATGCTCGCGTCAAGAGGCCCGGCTCAGAGCTCCGTTCCAGGCCCGGGGCCTGGGGCCCGCGAGCGCTCCAAGGCACAGGGCCCCGGGCCGAGGACCTACCTGTCGGGGCCGCCCGGCGGGGTCCTGCCGCGGCCAGTCCACCCGGCGGCCCAGAGGGCACCAAGCCGACCGCCGCCGCTACGCGCCGCCGCCGCCACGGCGCGCTGGCTTCCGGCTTGCCGCGGCGGCCGCTAACCCGGAAGCGCGCGCGCGCCGAGCCGCCGGACCACGTGACCTCGGAGCCCCGCCCCGAGGGCTGGCCTTGCCGCGGAATCCGGAAAGGGACGGTCTTGGTGCGGAAACCTGCCAATCGGCGGAGACTTCGGTCGTTTTTTTTTTTTTTTTTTTTGTCAAAATCCTCTGTCTAGATGGTGAAGGTGAAGACGGAGGCGGGGTCGTTTGTCCATCACACACTCCTCATCACCTGAATGTTACCCTTTACCCTCAGGTTACCCATCATCCCCAGAGCCTTGTGTATCCATGAAATTGGAGGTGTTGACGCCAGTGCCCACCTGGTAGGGTTAGAGTGGACATCGTAAGTGCTTGGCTCGGCTACTGTGACTGAAATGACCGCTGTTTTTAATCCGGATTTCCGGCACTTCCACGAGACTCTGGAGGGTTTTACTTGTCTTAGCTGCAGTGTTGTTCCTGTACCAGGGAGATGGGAGAGTTCTCCAAGTACAAACCAGATACAGTCACTCTCCTGGGTAGCATCTGCTGTAGATCTCGGGAGCTCTGGACAGATGCTCCTTAGTTTGGTCTCCGAGCCCCGCTCAGATTCGTTCCTGACCTACTTCCAACTGTTCCAGCAGTTTCCGCTCCGCGTTTGTGCTTCTCTTGTACCTAATTATTTCCACTTAGTCCACTTGCACATTCCAAATTTGCCGTCCATATCGCCCACGATTTTGAAAGGAGAGGTGGAATTACCAGCCTTTATCATTCTTTCTAGATTTTACTAAAAGTACCTCTAGCCACACAGGTTCCTTCTCTGAGTTTTTTAGAGCTGCCTCTAAATCCTTCAGATTTGTGGGCATCCGAGTAGGCTTCGGGGAGCCCTGCTTGACTTCTGCACTCCGGGGCAGCAAGGGGTCAGTCTTCCGACTTGGCTTCCACATAGGTTTTGTTAGTTTCTGCCAAAAGAATCGCAGTAAAAACTCCAGAGAGCCATAAACTAGATCAAATATACTGAATAATCTATTTAAATGAGAAGATGGTTATCAGTAACAGTGTCACTAGTCTCTGGTCACCAGGAACCAGGCTAAGGAAGATTGCCAGAAGGGCTGGTTGGGTAACATAATCTGAGGAAGCCATACTAAACGTGAGATGTGGCTAGGTAACCATATAAAAGTATAGATTAACAAAAATGAAAACTAATTAAAATTGCTAAAAATATTTCTTTGAATTTTGAAGAATTTAAAATGTCAGCTCATAGCAAGAATCTAGAGTGCTGAAGATCTTGATAGAAATATCAATGCATAGATTATACACTCTTGTAAGATCACTTATACAGGAAAAACTCAAGAGAGTGGGTTATTCAGAATTTCTCCTCTTTCCTAATCTTTGTTATTCTGGTCCACACTTCCAACCCCAACCCGAAAAACTTGCTGCCTTGGAAGGCTGCAAGAAACAAAGGACTTAATCAACATCACCCTCTGCCTCCGGGCTCTGGATGGGTCTAGGGAGAACTTGACAGGAGATAGTAAGGAGAGGCGCCTCATTAGCTGGCCCCTAAAGGCTTGTGGGAGTTCTTTGTGGGAATGAAGGGTATCGGAACCTCTATGAAGCCTACGATGGTTGCCTGATATCTACTGAAGAAGCTGTAGTCCAAAGCCCACCATGACTTCCAGGATATGAGAGGAACAAAAGGACAGGTCAATGGTACTAACAATGTTATGTTAGGCTCCCACTCACTCTTCCTCCTTCCCAGTCTCTCTTTTCTTCTTTGTTCTCCCCTCCTTTTCACTAATTCAATAGTGCTCCTGTTTCCCAGCCCCCATCTCTTGAACCACACCCAGATGGTACATATTGACTTTGGGGAATAAAATCACCTGCAGAGTGGGAGAGCACCTGAGGATATGCACTTTGTCCACTTGCTTTGACACTGAGGAGTTCTCAGCATAACTGAGCATGGGTTTGGTGTGCTTGGAATGCCTTTTATCCATGTTTAAAAAAAAAATCTCAATTTTGACTTATTTCTCTAATTTTACCTGTCTTGATTCTGATAGGTCATTTAACTTGGATGTTACCTCCTGGAAAGAATTCCTTTCAGAACCACCCCCAAATTAAGTATTTGGAAATGTATCTTTTTCTCTACCCAGGTCTCCCGTTTATAAAAGCAGAAAACAAAACAAAAAGACAGAAAAATCATCCACAGCTTTATATTTGGCATTCTGTGTTTGAATTTCCTCCTTCACCACCAAGTATATGAAAATTTAAAACATTTACTGAACTCAATATGTTCTCAAGTGAACTGAGAATGAAATAAAAACTATAGAATAAAATTTAAAGTGTTCAAAATCACAGAATTTATTCCTTTGAAATTTGAAGTGTTTGCATCCATGTGGTGACTCATATCATCCGAAACTCCAGTCTCAGGGGATTCAGGGTTTTTTTTTTCTGACCTGTGCAGGCACCAGTCGTGTGTGTGGTACACACATATACATATAGTCAAAATGCCCGTACACATAAAATAAGCAAATCTAAAAAAAAAATTTAAAAATGCAAAGGTGTAGGAATTTGATCCAGCGCTGTACAGTAATCCAGTGGTCGATTGACACACTGCCAGCAGCCTGGGCATGGCGACCTTTCTCCATCTCTCCTGTACAAGGTACAAGGCTCTGCCTATACAGAGCTGCTTTTGCATGTGTGTCGTCGGGGACATGCACTGGGTGGGGCTATAAACCATTCCGGGGAAATTCAGCTTCCCACTGCTTGAGTCCCCTGAACTCTGTTGAGAGATTTATTTACTCAGAGGATAAGATCCCGAGGAAAGAGATAAGAAAAGGGAGCCATGTGGGATTCCCCTTTCAGCTCAATGACATCTTCCGAAGGGAGGGAACTTTGTCTCAGACCTGTGCAGGGTTCCGCATCTCCAAAGCAGTGGCAGTTGAAGTTCTTCAACTCACAGGGCAGCATCTTCGAGGTTGAGGAAATCTCAGAGAGAAGCTACAGAATCTCTTTCTCCCTCCCTCTTTCTCTCTCCCTCTCCCTCTCCCTCCCTCTGTCTCTCTCTCTCTCTCTCTCTCTCTGGTAGACTTGAACTCTAGTCAAAACACCGTGAGGTTGTTCAGTGGTTGCTCTACAGCCTGAAAGAAACTAACCCAACCCTAAGCCAAATTTCTCCCCCACCACAGTTCATATAATTTATTGCAGTTATCATACAGCTTTAAACAATTTTGATGTACCGATAGTATAAAATTTAACGGTATTTGAAGCTATTCCCCACTCAGGAAAATGAAACATGATTGTCAAAGCTTGATGTCAGTCTAAGGTTTAGAACAAAGGAGCAATGTGAAACTGAAAGGAAAAAGCAATCAGTCACTCACAAGGATCCCCTGAGCTAAATTTCTTAGGCCTTCATATGAACTCCATACCCCACTCCCCTCATTGGGTACCCACTTCCACAGAGCGTCCCTTGTTCCACCACAGCCTCCTCTGTGTTTAAAGCTCTCTTTCAGACCACCCATGTGTGGACTACCATGCTGGGATTTAGGACTTCTTTCTTTGGAATCCAAACTGAATCCATTTGGGATGGCATGGGGTTCCTGCTGCCTCTTTTTAGGCAACCCCAGCGGTAGGTTCAGTGGGACCACTAGTAGAAGCTAAAGTAGAGAACATGATTTCTGGTCAAGTGATGTTCAGAGGATACGGACTTGCTCTGAGGAGTGGGAGATAGTTCCTGGAGGTCCCAAGAAACACTTAGAGCCATTCACAAGTGCTGCTGCCCCTCAAAACTTGAAAACCAGAGGGCACTGAGTGGTGCCTGGCTTAATTGCTAAAGGAAGCCAGTATGTACATAGGCTGAAGAGACAGAGGATGTTGCAACCTTGTTAGGAATGAAAAGACCAGTAAAATCTGCTCTGGTGGTGGGAAAATGGTACATTACAGATATTAAAAAATAAGATGTGGGTGGAGATCACACCTGGAGAGAGGGAGGGAGAGAGGACAGAGACCTGTAGAGAAAAGACAAACTGAGGGTGGGGACATCTCTGTGACAAGCTGGAGACCTAAGTCAGGGTGGGCTCCTGGGAGGATAGGAGGGGGACTCAAGCAGAGATGCCTAGTAGCAGAGGACACAGAGACTGAAGAGGACACCCTCTAAGTATACCAGTCTCCTAGCAGAGGGAGGGGAACTCCAACCTACCCATGAAAACTTCGACCCTGAATTTACCCTGCCTGCAAGATGTACAGAGATAAAGATAGAGCAGCTAGAGCAGAGATTGAGGGAATGCCCAACCAATGCCTGGCCCAAACAAAAGACCCACCCTTTCAGAGAGTGCTAACCCATGACACTATGAACACTACTCTGCTAAGCTTGCAGGCAGGAGCCTGACAGAGTTGTCCTCTGAGAGGCTCTACCCAGCAGAGCCTCAAAACAGATGCTGAGACTCACGGCCAAACATTGGACAATGGAATAGGGAGTCTTGTGGAACAGTGGGAGGAAAGAGAAAAGACCTGGAGGTGACAGGGGCGCCACAAGAAAAACAACAGAGCCAACTAACCAGGGCCCAGAGGGGTTTGCTGAGACTGAAGCACCAACCAAGGACCATGAATGAACTGGACCTAGGCCCCCTAAAAAGATGTAGCAGATGGGCCTCTTAGCATCACGTGGGTCCTCTAGTAAGGGAAGTGGGGACTGCATCGGGCATGGACTCACTTGCCAGCTTTTTGATCACTTTCCCCTGGTGGGACTGCCTTGCCAGGCCACAGGGGAAGAGGACACATTCAGTCCTGATGCAACTTGATGAGCTGGGGGGGATGGGAAAGGGGGCTCCCCTTTTGGGGAGAGGGGAGAGGGTTCTGGGGAGTGGCTACAACCAGAATGTAATGTGAAGAATTAAATATTTAAAAAATAAGATGTATGGGTATATGTCTGGAGAGATGGCTCAGCAATTAAGAGCACTGGCTTCTCTTCCAGAGGACGTGAATTAGATTCAGCACCCTGATGGTGGATCACAGTTGTCTGTAATTCCAGTTCCAGGGTATTTGGCATCCTCAGACATACAAGCAGGCAAACTACAAGAGAGCAAGAGAGGGAGGAACAGAGGGAGAGAGGAAGAGAGAGACAGACATACACACGGGGGGGGGGGTAAGCTTGAATAAGGGTGGGGAATAAGAGTGGGTGAGGGTTAAATCACCAGGAAAAAAAAAAAAACTTTACGGTTAACTCCCAGTCTTCTAACAGACTTTGGAATTTTTTTTTCTCCTTCTCTGACCCTCCCTCCCTTCTTTTTCTTCCTCCTCCTCTTCCTCCTCCCTCCTCATTTTGTTCAAAATGGGTTCCTTATAGCTCAGGTTGACTTTGAACTTGAACTGTTGCTATGTAGCCAAGGATAGTCTTGAACTTCTGATCCTCCTGCTTCTACTTTCCAAGTGCTGGGATCACAAGTATGTGCCAACTTGCCAGGTTTTTATGTGAAGGACTGGGAATGGAACCTAGGGTTTTCTGCATATGAGCTAAATCTCTCCCAACCCAATGACACCCCAGTCCTTCATTCTAGCTTTTAAGAATTGCTATATTATTCTCTTTCTCTTTCTTTCTCTCACACACATTTTTTAAAAAGATTTGTTTCATTATTTTAATCATGGTGTGTATGTTTATCTGTGCATGTGGGTGCAGTACCTGCAGAGGCCAGAAGGGGTCACTAGCCCCCTAAAACTGAAGTTCCTGCCTTTGACAAGCTGTGCAGATAGTACAGATGCTCTTAACTCCTGAGCCCTCTCCAGTCCTACATATTTTTTCTTACTATTTAGCATTCTAGCTTTTTTATACAGCTGCTCAAATTTGTCTTTATTTTAAAAACTCTGTCAAATCCAACTTAGTTAAGTTTTCCCCTCCTTTATACTTTTTTTTTTACATATTTGATAAAAATTTGGATTTCCTCTTTTTTAGAACCCCAGGTGACTTAAAATTATGGAACCACATATTAAGTATATGTCGGTGAACAGTTAAGAAAAGGGGCACTGGTTAGTAGGGGCAGCTATAGACTTCATTTATAGTTGGGAAAATGACAGTGTTTTATGTTCAGAAATTTACAAACAATTCATTATATAAAAAGTATGACCAAGATTTCCATTAGTTTTGTCTCTTGTAGCTTTCTAATGTTTAATAAGTAATTTTCTTTAACAGAGACTGGTTTTCTACTAAAAAAAAATGTTAAGAAAGAAAGAGAGAGAGAGGGGAAAGAAAAAGAAAGAGAAAGAGAAAGAAAGGAAAGAAAGAAAGAAAGAAAGAAAGAAAGAAAGAAAGAAAGAAAGAAACAAGGCCAGGCATGGTGGTGTACACTTTTAATCTCAGCATTAGGGAGGCAGAGGCAGGTGGAGCTCTGTGAGTTTGAGGCCAGCCTGGACTACATACCAAGTTCCAGGATAGCCTGGGCTATGTAAAGAAATCCTACCTCAACCCGCTTCCCACCCCCTCCAATCAAACAAACAAACAAACAAAAGAAGACAGATTTAGTAAGCATTTTAATATCTCACAGGGAATGCCTATTTTGTGAGAGCATCAAAATTCAGAAAAAAGCCATGAACTTGAAAACTGTGTTAATACTTAGGCACTCAGAACGTGACCCTTCCTGGGTAGGCCTTCCAGTCCATCTGAGGTCTAGTAACTACACAATGTCAGGCAGGAGGGAAACACATTTCAGAAATTGAAGATTTTAATTCTGCTTCCTCAGTTTCCTCTGTCTCTTGGAGACTTTTGGGATTTGGGTCTCCATAACCTAAGCAAGCTACCCGTTAATTGGGTCTGTGTTTCTCAGGGACAAAAAGATCTGTAGCTTATGATCGAAGTCAATGGCTCTAAACTGAGGCTCCTTGTACTTCTGGGTCATCTTGGAACTGAGGTATGTTATGAGTTCACATCTTTCCACAAACTGCTCCATCTTCTTCTTGTATTTTTTTCTTGAATATTCAGAAGCTTTGGGATTAAATGCTGTAGAAAATGTCACAGAATTGTGAATGTTTTCTGATGGGTGGTTAGTAAGCCATAAATTCACAGGTAACTAAGCTACACCCAACTAAGGGGGGAATGACCTTATCCCAGATAAGGTTAGAATGCTGTCTATCTTAGATCATGATTTCCTGTTAGAGGGCTGTCTACCTTGCTTACTCACTAGATCGTCATCTAACCACCTCCATCCCAGGAACACTATTTGATGGAAAGAATAAGGCTTTTATCTATCTGTCTTAAGAACTTGAACTCAAACATACACTGATTTAAATTGTCTTCTACCTGCAGGGCACAGCCATTTCCCTGCGTTCACCTTTCTCTATGGCATGGATTTCTGAGTGCTGAATATAGTATTTATTACTTTGGTTTTTATTTATTATATTATTAATTTTATGGTGCTAGGGATTGGACCTAGGACCTCCTAGGTCCTAGGCTAGGCAAGTGCTCTACCACTGAACTACATCCCTAGACCTCTGCATTCTTTTGTGATAAGGTCTCACCATGTAGTCCTAGTGGGCCTGGAACTTGCTATGTACACCAGGCTGCCCTTGAACTCACAGAGATGTGCCTGTCTCTGCCTCCCAAGTATTAGTATTAAAGGTGTGCGCCACCATGCATGGTTTAAGGTTTTGTGTTTGAGACAGGATCTTACTAAGTTGCCTAGGCTGTATTAGAGCTCGCTCCACAGTCCAGGCAGGCTTTGATCTTGTGATCCCCCTTATCCTCCTGCTTAGCTGGGCTCTTATAGGCCAGTGCCACCAGGTCCAGTTCATAGTCCTCAACTTAAGAACTGGCGATTTCAGTTTTGATGTTTTCATACAGATATTCACCCTGTCTACCGCACAAGGCACAACAAGCGCTAAGCTTTCCTGAGTGGTGCGTTTAGAAAGGCCTACCTTTGAGATGAAACGCTATATAGAGGAGGACAGACCTCCTCACACTCAAGAAGGGGAGCTTGGGTTTCAGGTTTCCTGCTGCGTTCAAGGCTTTGATCAGGGAAGTGGCTGTGCCCTGCGGATAGGAGACAATTTAAGTCAGTGTATGTTCAAGTTCCAGTTCTTAACACAGATAGATAAAGGCCTTATTCTTTTCCTCAAATAGCCTTCCTGGCATGGGGATGGTTAGATGACCATCTAGTGAGCAGGAAAGAAGCAGAAACTACATTTGATAAGAGAACATGAAACATAAATTGGCAAATTGCCAGCTGGGTGATGGATGCCTGCCTTGGCATTGTTTTGTCTTTGCCTCTATTTCCTGTGGTTTCTGTAACACAAAGTTAACGAAGAAAAAAGGGGGCACAGGGCTTTGGGTTGTCTTGGCTCATCTCTGCTTGTGTCGTTGGCACTGGCGGCCCCCCTTCCACTCTGTGCATCCTTGGCCACCTGGCAAGGCATCCTGGAGACCACAGTGTCACTGTAGCTGAGTCCCTAGGGCCCTGAAGGTAAAAGAGGTCTTCTGATACAAGGCCTTAAGACAACACTCCTCCCTAGGTGACTTCCCTGGTGAGTAGGTAGTGGGCCCGATGAAAGGGTAACTTTGCTCCTCTTCTCCCTTTTGTTTTTCTTTCAGAGTTGTTTTTGTTTTGTTTTGTTTGAGACAGTCTTGCTATGTAGCTCAGGTATGTGCCATTGAAGGCTAACTTGCAAACTGAAAAAAAAAAAAAGTGGCTGAGAAGTTCTGACAAAGCTGTGAGATGGACCGATGGGCAAAGGTGCTTGCTGTGTAAACCTGGAGACCTGAGCTTGAGCTTAGAAACACAACTAACATTGGAAGGAGAGAGTCATCTCTGCAAAGTTGTCCCCTGGCCTCCATACACATACCATGGCACACGTTTCCCTCCCATCACAAACGTACAAACTCACACACATACAAATAATTTAAAAATTAACTAATTTTGAAATAGTAATTGACTAGTGGCAAATTTCACTGCCTTTAAAAATAACTCTATCTGGATGGATAAAATGTGATTTGAACAGACATGGATTTGGGATAAAACATGAGTTTTTGTATCTCTCTTATCCTGGTACTATGACTTAACTCTTTTGCAGAGTAATTTAACCTTTGGGAGGCCAACACAATGTTTAATATCACTTTCAAAACAAACCCAGCATCAACCCTAAAATAAAATAAATAGAAACCCAACTATACACCCAACTTACACGGGAGTAGTTTTCAGACAACCCATTCTCCTTGGAAGTGGTGCAGCTCCAGGCATTTAATTACAGGCGGTCACGCCTTTTATTTTAACAAGCTTTACAACTTAAAAACCAGCAGGCTTTGCCTGGAACCTCACTGTTACAGAAGTGGACGTTACTGTTAGGAAAGACCCCTGAATCCTTGTAATGGGTGTCATAGAAAGTCATGCAACAGAACCTGTTCCAGATACCCAGGCAGAGGGAGGCTTGTGAGGTGGATGGTCTCCTTTAGCGGGGGCAGTTTGTATGGGAGCTTCTGGTCCCAGTACTGTGTTGGCAACCTGAGGACAACAAAGCTCATTAGACACAAGCTCCCACAGCCGTTCTGTGCACGCAGATGCGAGTGTGAGATAAAGCTCACTGCTTGCCTCAGCTGCTGGAGAAGTTTAGACGAGGGGAAAGACCAGGGGCCCTAGAAATTTCTTTTGTTGTTTTTTGATTTCACACAAGGTCTCATGTAGCTCACATTGCTGCTGAGAACAACTCTCAACTCCTAATTCTTCCGGCTCTGGGGCTCCAGCCTTGATCACCTGTTCTCAGATTTCTTAACTTTCACAGTGACTATACAGAAGTTTATTTTCATTTGTCGCAAAATTTGAACTAAGTGGCACCTTCATCCGAAAGACAGATGAAGACACCCTATGCCCAGGGTGGAGGACACCAGGAGCTTCTTCGAGCAGCAGCTGAGCACGAGCAGAGTTAGATGTGAAGTCCTCTTCCCAGCACTGGTACCTCCTTTCTGAGCATCTCCACCCATGCTCTGAATCCCACTGGACCCTCTTTCTGTTTTTTATTTTTTATTTTTTTAACTGTAGCTGTTTCTTGCTTTCCCGCTCTCAAGTCTTGGCACATCCTTCTTTATTAGATCCTTCCTATGCAGCTGCATTTCAACATGCTCACAATCCCATTTAAGAAAAGAAGAAAAGAAAAGAAAAAAAAAGAGAAATAGCTGGATGTGCTGACCAGTAATCCCAGAAGCCAGGAGGCAAAAACAGACCAACCAGTGCTATACAGAGTGCATCCCAGGCCAGCCTGGGCTACAGACTGAGACCTGGTCTCCACCTCCAACAAGCCAACTAGCCAACCCCACCCTCCATCAAAATCCAAAACAACAAACCAACGAGACAATACAAGAAAGAAAACCAACACGGAGAGTAATTCACTTTCTCGCCTTCAATTTTTTTTTTTTAAATTAATTTGAGACAGGGTTTCTCTATGTAGCCTTGGTTGCCCTGTACTCAACCTGTAGTACTTGGTTGCCTTTGTAGATCAGGCTGGCCTTGAACTCTCAAAGATCTGCCTACCTCAGCCTCCCAGAGTGCTGGGATTACAGGTGTGAGCCACTGCGCTCAGCTTTCACCTTCAAACTTAAATCTCTCCTGGCAACGATCACCTCTCATCTTTTTACAATTATGTTCTTCGACCCTGAGTCTCAATAGACGTGGCAAACTCAGGCACGTTCTTTTTCTTTTGGAAGCACTTGCGAATGTTTTAAAATCGGAAAGGTTAAAGGGATTTTGTCTTGGGCTTCTCATGCAGACGCCTGGTGGCAGGACAGTCTCTGCTCGCTAGACAGCTGCTGCCGGCAGTGCTCACTATTTCTATGGTTTCTGGTCCAATTCACTTTCCTCAGCAGCTCTGCCCCTCGCTGCTGCCGCTGGCTATCACCTCTGGGCTACCTGCAGCCCTTGGGACCTCCCTCACGCCTCCAGGCTCCCTCCATGCCACCCAGCCTCACTTGCCAAGACCCTCAGTCTCACATGAGTGTCAGCCCCTAATATCGCTTCACTTCCCAGAGGTTCTCTTTTTCAAGGCCAAGGCTTCCGTCCCTACTCCCCTTCACCTCTGAGGCAGTCTTCAGATGTGTGTGTCAGTATTAAGAGCAATGATCAGTGGTGTGAGCTCCAACATGCCTCATACGCTATTAACCTCTAAACATCATTTCTGCCTCCAGATCATTCTTAACACCCCATGGATATTCTTGAGCAAAATAGCCTCTAATACTCACCTAGTTTAGGGCCAGGCTGTCTACTTTTGTAATGCTTGGGATCAAGTCTGAACACTGGTGGTTTTATGTGGTCTTCTGTTCGCTGCTATGCTCACCTCCTCCAGCCCCACCTCTGCCTCACATCCAGACATGCTGACTTTCTTACAGGCCCTGGATTTCCCAGGGACAGGGTGATTGCTCATCAGCTTGGAATCTGGCTCTCTATCCATTCTGGCCCATGCCAGTTCATTCTCAGCCCTCACTCTGGCAATCCAACCATGCCAGAGTGCCAGGCCCTTTGTCTTTCCTGAGGACCCCAAATATTCTGTTATTATCAGGTACTCAAAATCTATCCACTCTGAAACCCCAAGCTTTGGGACAAAGTGGCACTTATTCACCAAACCTTTCTCCCTCTCCCCACAGCCCCTCTGTTTGTGTGAGTGTATGCTCACTGCCTCCTTTCCCTTCCCCCCCCTCTCCTCTCCTTCCCTTCCCTCCCCTCTCTTCTCCTTCCCTTCCCTCCCCTCTCCTCCCCTTCCTTTTTCTTCCCCAGTTCCAAACACAGTACATGGGCATGGAAGATCATAAATATTTATAATTTGGTGAATAATCTCACCTCATGAATTTCTGGAGTTTTTCTTCACTTTCAAAAATGTATATCCGATCACGATACTCTACAGCATACTGAATGTTACCAGGCTTGAGGGCTTCATATCTGAAAGATCAAAACCAAGACAAAACAAAACAAAACCCCACCACGTAATTAATGTGTGTAGCTTCGTCACTAATATTGTATGACTAAAATGTCAAAAAATGTTTCACGTTTCTACTTGTGCAGCTCAAGGGAAAAAAAAGAAACACTTCCATGAGCAATCAGCAGGGTAGGACTTTCTGGGCCTAAGAGATGGCTCAGAGCTTGAGAGCACCGGCTGTGCTTGCAGAGGGCAGGAGCTGGTATTTCCAGCACCCAGGTTAGGTGGTGCACAAAGGCCCTGTAACTCCAGTTCTAGGGGCTCAGAGACCCTCTTCAGGCCTCAGTGGCCACCTGCCAGCGCATGGCACATCAGTTCTGCTTCTGGTTGATGCCAATGAGGAGAGCGCTCAAAGGGAAGTGCTTAAGTGTAGTATAAAATAATAAGTGAAGGGGCTGGAGAGATGACTCAGTGGTTAAGAGCACTGCCTATTTTTCCAGAGGACTGGGGTTCGGTTCCCAGCACCCACATGGCAGCTCACAACTGTCTGTAACTCTAGTTTCAGACATACAGACGTATGTACGTGCAGACGTATGTACATGCAGGAAAAACACCAATGCACATACAATAATAAATAAATCATTTAAAAATAATACTTGAAAACAATATTTAAAATCAGAATTATATAGTTTTTAAAAAGTGACTTTTCTAAACCAAATAGCTTACGTTAAGAAGAGCTGATTCTATTATGACACGGAAAAATTAAGAGATAAAACCTCAATTAAAGAAAATGTCCCAATTGCTTCTGAGCAGGTGTGTGGGTCTGTCCTTCTACACATAAGGTGGCTTGCCTTTGATTTCCATCCTGGTAAGTTACTGGGCAGTAGCCCTTCAGTTCAGCGCACTTCGGAAAACGACTCTTCAGCTCTGACAGGGTCAGCCTTTTGGGAATCATGTCAGGAGATGGGAGTGGATTTGGTGCCAAGGGAGGCACGTATGCTTCCGGGGTCTTCAGGAATTTCTATGAAGAGAAGAGGTAGAGCAGCAAGCGCATTTAAAAACATCAAAATTAACACCAATTGAACTATTGTTAGAGGCTCTCCTGTTCTCTTTCCTTTCCAGTAGCCTTTCGAGTTATCTGAGAGACGTTTCTGTAGCTTGTTCTATAAGAAGCTTCTCGGGATAATAATACCAACCAATCAAAGGTCTCTTCAAAAAACAATACTTTTTAGTTTGTTTTTCTACGACAAGGACAGAGTCCTCAGCCACCTGCCTGCCCATGTGTCCCCTCAATGGTTCTCCAGGGACCGCTCTGGAAAGTACAGGCGCAAAGGACCCAACTTCTGCTCTAAAGTTCTGCGGCTATTACGCTGCGTACAATGAGCACCTCCCCCAGTAAAGACATGACCATTCTCATTCTTCGGAGGAAATATTCGGATTGCTCTTCATTATTGTCTTCAGTTACAAACCAAAGTAGAGTATCAAGTATTGGCATCAAAATATTGGAATCAATATATGCTTTGACTTTTCAATTTAGGGGTACAAGTTGTCTAATTCCCTATGTGTATAGGTTCTGAGGCCCAGATTCAGATTGGATATATTCAGGAGAAAGAAAAAAACAAACACCTAAGCATGTATGCCCCTTTGCCCTTGCATTATTCCCCGAGCAACACAGCGTAAACGGCTACTTACAAGGAGGCATTTACATTGGATTAGATATGATAAACCACCCTCCGCATATGCGGGAGGGTATGCCTAGGCTAGTTTATATGCAAATGCTACCCCTCTCCATACTTGAGCGGACATAGAATTTGGCGCCCTCGGAAGGGATGTTTTGGAACTAATCCCCACAGATGCCGGGGAACAACTGGGAATTCTAGCTTTTTCTTTTTTGTTTGTTGTTGTGGTTATATTCAGCACGGAGGATCTCAGCTGAGCTCTCGCTTCGTTCCTACTGACTTTGGCTCGACTCCCTCAGCCCTTGAAGCTGAGGCCTCCTGGGTATCTCTCTGTAGGATGGGTCCCAATGCTTCAGACCCTCTCCATTGGTGAGACTCAACCGTTGGCGTTCCCTGATAGGCTATCAGAGACCCGTCACTGACCAAAGCCTTCTAAATGTGTCTGGGATAGTCTTTGAGTTTGTCACTGGTCCCAGTCACAGCTTTAACGGTGTGGTGCTTGATCCCGATTTTCTGAGCATTCCCAAGGGAGCCCGTTTTCCTTATTTGATGATGTTTATGACAAGTAAGTCATTTTCTTTCCTGAACTAGTATTTACATAAGGAACAGACTTACATTCAGATTTTCCAGGGAACTCATTTTATAATAATGTCCCCTGAACTCTGCTGCAAATTCCAAGCTGCTAGTTATGGAACAATCAATTAATTCATTAGATTCTGCTAGGCTGACAGGGCAGAACTGTCCAAACTCTCCCAGGCGAGAAATCAGCTCTTCAGGCGTGATACATAATTTGTCAATGCAAGCGGCTTTCCCTGTTATTAACATAGATAACATATGTTTTCACAGAAAATGCAATGGTTAAAAATTAAAATAATTTCAGTTAGACACCACTCTATTAACACTACACATTCTAAAATTCTAAACAATAGATTAAAAAGTACATTTACTTTTGCATGTGGTGGTGTTGGTCTACAATCCCACATTCTGGAGGCTGAGGCAGAGGGATTGCCACACGCTCTAAACCAGCCTGGCTTACATAGTGAGAACCTGTTTCAAAACAAACTAGCAAGCAAACAAACAAAACAAAAGCTACTCTTCACGTCTGCACCCTTTAGCCTTCAACCCATGCTGAGAGATACCCACCGTTGGGTTTATATCCTCTTTAGTTCTTTGTCTTCTGTACATTTGCATATATACATGCCTTTTGCATCTAGCATATTTATGTCATTACATGTAAACATTACTTTGCAACTTATCAGTTAATTGTTGTCTTTGACATTTTTCTATGTTGGCCCGATTCTTTAGACATGCTTAATTTTTGTTTGTTTTTGTGTTCAAGGAGACGCGTTCTGATTCTATGAATCCTAGGCGCCTTGATCTTATGGTCAACTTGCTTCAGGTTTCTGGATATTGGGATTATAGGAGTGCCTCACCATGCCCAGGGACCCAATTCCTTGGAATTAATGCATAGTATTCTACTCCAAAAAATATATATAAGCTATAAATACATGATTATTAACTTATGCGTGTAACTATAAGCATATGTGGTTTACTTAAATAATTTATCTTTGTTGAGTATTTTCGTTCTAGTTTTCAGGTATCATCAACCATATGCAAGTCACAAATAATAGTTATATATACATATATTTTATATGCACACAATAGTTACATTTACATGTATACATCTGTATGAATGGACACACACACGCACATACATGCTCTAACAAGCATTGTCTACACAATTCTGATACTAACTGCCAGCTCAGCAGTCATAGCCCTTCAATGAGGCAGGCATTGGGAAGCATTGTCTTATTGGCTGTCATCTTCTGCCAACCTACTGAGAGCAAGCAATGATCAGCGAGGCCTCAGCAGCATTCCCAGTAAGGCCCTCAAGCTACGCACTGCTGGAATGCAGGCTTTTTCAAGTGGAAAAATCTGTGACTCAACGGAGTCATCAAAAGTGAATAGGATACCTTGACTGTACTGAGCATCACAAAAATGGTTCCCAGCCACGAAGTACTGACTCCTTCATTAGGTCCTGGGTCCATTCTGAAGTGTCCAGAGTGGCAAATGGATTGGGGTCTCCTGACATCTTTGTATCTTTCACAGTTCAGAGGTTTCTGGAGTAGTGTTACTTGACTTAAGACAATGTGGCATTTGAGGAGTTTGAGGAGAGCCTGAGATACACAGCAAATCTCTGTCTCAAAAAGCCAGTAAATAAATTAATGATTATCCTGGTGATGCTGCCATTTCAGGCACAACTAATGAGAGAATTATCAGGTCATAGGAGCATCCAACGAGATTTTAAAAGAGGGCTAGGGGGTCGACAGTGCACGATATGGTCAAGATCTTGACATGGTGTTGCATGCAGCTGTGTTGGTGAAGTCTAAGACACAATGGAGATGCAAGGATGTTAGGAATGCCAAGAGCATGGAAGGTCCGCTGGGGAAAGACAGAAAAAGTGAATGGAGCCAGCCTGAGAGAGAGGCCATGTGAGCCACACATGGCTAGCCTTGGGAGTGGGAAGGGTTACTCAACCTTGGTTTCATTTAGATGAAAACACTATGATCCTCAGATGTTGGGGATGGAGCTGTGGATGCATCGTTTGGTCTGATAATGTCTTGTTTGCCTCCTATCCCTCCTGCTTGTTTAGATTAGTACTGGAATTAGCCCAGTACCATCAGATCTCAACACATGGAAGTTCCTTTTTGATTTTATGAGAAAGGTTTGCCTTGTGACTCAGAGGACTTAGAATTTGGAATTTTGGAGGCTCCGGAGGATAGACTCAATGCATTTTGCATTATGAGATAGCCAAGAGCCTTTGGGAGCCGAGAATAAAATGCTGTGATTTGAACACAAAATGTCCTTCACGTATATGAAGGCTTGGTCTACAATTGTTGGCATCGTCTTAGGGGTAGTGACAACTTAAATGAAGTAGGTCATTGAGGGCATGAAGGTTGTATTTGGTCCTCTGGCCCCTTTCTTTCTCTCTACTTCCTAGATACAAGAAAATGACAAATCTTCCTTTTCCTCATCTTCTCCATAATGATGCTCTGTCTCACCACAGACAGTAAATAACCCTGATAGGCAGGATGGGCTCAGACTTTTGAAAGTGTGCCCAAGTAAGATTTCTATCTTAAACTGTTTTTCTCAGGCAGTTACTGTAGCAACAAGAACTGAATAACATAGCTGGGAATATAGCTCGATGCTGACTCTACTAGCTTAACATGTGAAAACCCCTATGTTCAATCCCAAAGTACTAAAAAACTCAAAATGTGTTCTGTTGAGGCCTGCTCTTTGACATAGCCATCTTTGTATTCAGCATCCATTTTTTTTTAATAAGGTGAAATTAAGCTCAAAATTTTAAACTTTTCAACTCTGCTTCCTAGAAGCAGTTATTCATAGCTGACACTAACAGTCCCTGCCAGGGGGTAGAGTTGACCTTCTATTTTACTGTGATTTAATAGTGTCATAACTTATACTTTGTTATCTACACACTTGGCCACACTCTGGTTGCACTTTTGCTATCTATACACCTGGTTGTACTTGGAATGTACTTTGGAAAACCCTCCCTTACCACACCTAGAACCAATCAGCTTAAAGGTCAGCTGATAATGCTTTGTCTAGTTAGCCAAAAAGGTAAGATTTCTTTGTACAGTTAGCCAAAATGTGTTGCTGCCTGTTGTCTTCTGCACTCGGTTTTCCCATAAGAGACAGGTCAATGCCACAGTGATGGCTGCCTTACTGTGGTCCTGATCGATCAGCTTGGAAAGACCTTCTAATAAACCATCAAAATCTAGACAAGACCAGTGTCTGAGTGGTTTGTGTGGCACTTCCTGGGCTCTAACAGTGCAAGACCTAAAACTACAGAAAGTTTGTGCCCAGGATCCTAAACTTGGTAGGCTGAGCCAGCAGAATCTCTGTGAGTTGCAGGGCCTGGGCCATAGAGCAAGACCCCGGCACAAAAAGCAGTGAAGAGGGAGGAGAGGAAAGGAATTAAGGATAATGAGAGAAAGTGGGGAGAAGAAGGAGAGAGGGAGGGAGAGAAAGAGAGAGAGGTAAGGAAAAAGAGATGTATGTGTATGTCTGTATGTCTGTATGAAGGGAGGGAGGGAAAGATGGGGAACACATAGGGAAACATTTCAACATGTCAGTGTAGGGAATAATTTTTTTTTGTCAGACCTCAAAATTACAGGCAAGAAAAGCAAAATTTGGTAAAGGCATTCGTCAGTCAAAATGAAGATGCTTCAGCACAGCAAAAGATACCCTAACTAGTAAGACGAGAGACTCCGCAGTGCAAGAAAATACCTTTGACAGTGGGATTAACATCAGCATGTATAAGGAACTATTCAAGGAATGTCAACTATTCAACCGTGTAAAAACAAACAAAACCACCAACTGGCCAATATTATGGTTTGGGTCCGAAATGTCCCTTCAGGATCCTGTGTGTGAACACTTGGTCCCTATCTGTTGATGCTCTTTGGGGAACATTGTGGAGCCTTGAGGAGGTGGGGCCCAGCAAGAGCAAGTGGGTCACTGAAACTACAGGCCTTGTGGCTTATAAACACAGGCCTATTCCCACTTCCCACCCCCTTTATGCTTGGTTTCTAGAGACTCCTGCAGCTTTGCACAACTCCTACAATCACCATGACTCCTCTGCCTTGAGGGACTGTATCCCCTCAAGCTGGAAGCCAAAGAAATCCTTCGTCTGTTAAATTCCTTCTTGTCAAACATTTCGTCACAGTGATGAGAAAAGTAATGAATACAGCCGTGAGTAGATATTTTTCTCAAAAGACATGGCCAACAAATATGCTAAAGCTTCTCAGCCCCACTAGTCATCAGAAAGATGCAGATCAAAACTGTGGGGAGGCATTATGTCATCCAGGGTACCTAGGGTGAAACAGAAAAGGGAATCCTAACTGTTGGCAAGGATGCGGGGTGGTGGTGGTGGTGGTGGTGTCGGTACAGCCACCACAGAGAACAGTACGAAGGTTCTTCAAACGACTGCAGATGTGATCTGGCTACCTCAGTTCAGAATATAAATACAAAGGAAATGAAATAAGCATATAGAAAAAGATGTAGGCACTCACATTTTAAAACCCATCACTATTTTCAATATCTAAGATGTAGAATCAGCCAAAGCATCTCTTAGTGGATGAATGAACAAGGGAGATGCAGTCTATACACAACGGAACGTTATTCAGCCTTAAATAAGAATGAAACCCTGGAGGACCTGGGGGACATCCTGCTCAGGATACAGGTATTGAATTGTCACATTGTGTTCCCTAAAGGTGTGTCTTGAAGGTTGGGTGTGGAATGCACTGGTGGACTTGTTTGTCTAGCATATGTAAGGCCTGGGCTTAGGTCCCTTGCACTGACCAGAAAAAAAAAAAAAGCACAATAATTATGTGTCCACTAAAACAAAGAATTGAAGTGCAAGATTAGATAAGCTTGAGCAGCAGCTGTCACTGACTAGAACAGATATACATGCTAACACAACCTACCCTGCTCAGCCTGTGCAACAAAGAGCTCAGTCTGCTCAGCTGACTCACAACAGAAACTCATTGCACAGTAGTCCTGGAGGTGAGGACGTGCAAGATCGAAGTGTCGGCAGACTTCCTATCTGATTAGACCTGGATCTCAGAGCTCGCACCTTCTCACACAGTAGAAGGGACAAATGAGCTGAGCTCCTTAAACCTTCCTATAGTGAAGGACACTACTTCATTTGGACAGGCAGAGGCTCCACAACCTAATTAGTTCACCCTTGGGCCTTTTAAACTGTTACACTGTTTAAAGTAAGGTCACGATTTCACATATGTTTTTGGGGACATACCAACATTCAGTTAGTACTGTATATTTAAAACACTAATTGCCAAGACAAAGTTCAAATTCAATAAATTATGTAAACAGAGACCAGGCATATCTGGATCTCAAGTTCACAGTTTGCTTCATTTAAAAAAAAAAAAAAATCACCATCACTTGGGAGGCAGAGGCAAGCAGAGCTCTGTGAGTTTGAGGCCAACCTGATCTATATATATCAAGTCCCAGGCCATCCAAGACTACATGGCGAGCCTCTGTCAAAAAAGAAAAAAGAAAAAAAATAAGAAAGAAAAGAGAGACACTCAAGGTTGTCCTGTGGCCTTCATATTCAGCTGCACATGCATGAACTTGTACACACAAAATGCACACACACACGCACACACACGCATGCCGCGCGATCATGTTTTCTTACCTTCCTTTATCCTTTCCATGTATGTCTGTATGTACCTGTTCATCTGCTGGATGTCTTTGATGACTTCATTCCACACCCACCACTTACTGTGAAACCCGTCAATCACGTGCCAATTTTGATGCTGCTCTTGGTAAAACTTCCTTATCTCGTCGACATTTTTACGGTACTTCGAATTCTTGAACGCTATGATCTGTGTGCTGTTGTGCACTGGATAAGGCAAACTAAGACGGGGCAGGGATAGGGGTGGGAAAGCTGTTGAAGGCACGAAACGTCCCCCGTGCAGAGGTCAGGTTCACCCCGTTCCCACGGAGCCCCGGGAGCATCACCTTTGCTCACTCTTCCTTTCCAAGAACAACCTTTTGAAAATCTCCTTGCTCGGCACATCCAGCTCAAAGATGATCATGGGAATGATGGTCCGAGTCTCCAAGAGGTTCATCTGCTTTGCCGTTAAAGGGTAGCCGTCGATGACCACACTGACAGACAGACAGACAGACAGACAAACAAAAAAGTCCAACATTCTTTGTGGAACAAATCTCTGCCTTTGAGCACTTCTATACTTTCCCTCGTGACACTGGTACTAGTTCTGTGCTTTCCTTCCTCATCTTTACATCTGAACCTGCAGTCATCATCCCTAGACCTCGAGGTGGGCAGTGTGCCCCCGGACACAGCTCTGAAAGCGGAGGCACGTGCGTCCGTAGGCTCAGCGTCACACAACCAGGTTTGGGGAGAATTCGAGAGACACGCCCACTCTACCTTTCGAAGTGTGCATCCCCGGTGTTATCAGCACCGGCACAGACGACAGGTGAACGCAGGCACACCTAGATTTGAAACCTGACATAAAAGCCCCATGCTTTGGTTTTGAATAAAACAGGAGAGAATTATGTTTAACCCTTAGAGTGGCTTCAAAGATTAGAGAGCTGGAGTGGAAAGCAACCGGAATGGGGCATGGCCTGTGCTGGGTGTTTAGTGAGCAGTCGTGTGTATTCTTGTGAGGAGGTAGTCTTCTTGTAGGAGAATGGGAATTTGTGAGGCCTACGGCACAGATGCATGAGCAGAAGGTGTAAAGATCACAACCCAACAGTCTGAGAAAACAAGGTTGTCTAGCAAACTGAAAGGAAACAATTTTTTTTTAAATTAAATTTCAGAAATTCTGAGGGAGGCCTCCTAGACAAGGCAGTGGGCTAGGCAGGTGGCTGGTGGCCACCGGTAACGGTGGGTATGAACTGAGTGACGGGATGAGCTGGCCAGTGGCTCTCAGGGCTGCGGGAATAAACCTAGTGGGAATGAGCAGCCTTCATACTGGGATTCAGATGAAATAATTGTGGGACCCAACCAAAGGTGCCCTCATGGGGGGTTGGGAGGGGACTGAGAAGTAATGCAGTATGGCTAGGTCCCTTCTTCTCCCGAAGGCTGTTCCCTGACGCTCCCATCCCCATCAAATTAGAGGAAAGAGTCAATTACTTCGCTCAAAGCCGCTGGCAAAAGAGAGCCAGCAGGTTCTAAATATACAAGGTCCTGCCTAAACCGGGGGATTCTAGGACCTGAACTCACGACTGGAGAGAACCAGGGCTCCCTGGGGTGTGACCAATGGCTGTAATGGACTAGAAAAAAGGCCCAGCAGGAGGGTAACCTGAGGACGAAGCCAGAATATGGCATTACAGAGGGGCACTACTGTAGAAGGACCATGTCCCCAGGAACATATCCTCTGAGAGCTAGAGAGGCTTTCTCCTCGATCACCTCATGGAGTGGTGAGGGGGTCGTGGGGTCTGTGGCCTCATCTGTGGGTTATGCTCAGGGGAGTAAGGAGGGCTGTGGGCTAATCGGCCATGAGTTCAGGCCACGAATCTTGCCGGAAAAAGATAAGGTTTCCATGTAAACGCTCAGTCTGGGAAGCAGGGCGCTCCAAACCCTCCTAAAAAGGCCCCTTAAAGTCACCCCAGCCCCACCCACTCACCCTACAGTGTTGCACGAAGTATCCATCAGGGCAATATCTAAAGCTTGAACCGCCAGTTCGTCTGGCACCATCATGCCTTTGTGAAGGTGCCAGTTGATCTTAAGTGACAGCTCTGTTTCTGGGTGATTGCTCAACAGCCCACGCAAGGCATCTCCGATTGACAAGCGCTTCAAGCCATATTCACTTGCAAGCTTTTTGGCCACTGGAAGACATAAAGCGCGAAGCCTGCTTCACTCCACGCGTTCATCAGTTAACTTTGCTCTCAGAGCCCGGATTGTGGCACCGAAGACAAGTTTACTTCAGGTTTGTGACGTTAGGGTCTTCTTAATGAACCAACCGGGTTTCTTCTTCTTCTTCTTTTTTTTTTTTTTCATTTTTAAATAACCAACTTGAAGTAACGCTTAAGCAACTTACTCCTTCTGCGTGAGGTAGCAAATTTGTGGGGGAGGCATTGCTTACTGCCCTTATGTATTTGGGAGGCTGTCAAAGAACAATGTACCAATCCTACTTGATTGGATTACGCACACCATTCCCCAGTCCAGCTGCAGATTCCATTCTGCAAGGAGGATGAACAAACCCTAGCCTGGTGATGGCTGTCAACCCTGTAGGAAGTTTTTTGTTTTTTTTTTTAAACGTTATAATGACATACATTTCGTACATACATACATACATGTACGGTGCTTTGCCTGTATGTATGTCTGTGCACCACGTGTTCAGTACGTATCGAGGCCAGAAAAGGATCTCGGATCCCCTGGGATTGGAGCTGCCACGTGGCTGCTAGGAATCGAACCCAGGCCCTCCAGAAGAGCAACCAGTGCTCTTTCTGCTGAGCCATCTTTCTGGTCACCTACTATTCATTTTAGTAGAAGTTTATAGCTTAGGAGACAGAATTTTTTTTTCCTGTGAATTTATTTGGGTGATGTGAAAAGTAAATTCTAACTTTATGTTTGAGGGGAACAAAAGCCTCAGATGTAAAGATCAGTTGTACAATAGCTCACCAGAGGCCATGGATGGAAAGGGGATTCCCTTGATTTCCCAGGGTCAGGTGAAATCCCAGAGCCTGAACCTCAGTTTCCCTACAGACTCTTGTGTTGTGGATACAAGCATGTTTCTGTTTTGGTCCCAGGTGTGGGATGTGGGTGGGACTGATTCACATCATCCACAGCAGCAGACTCTTTGCCTCATGTGGGCTCTAAGAGGAGCTCTTTGCCAGCTGCAGACAGTTTAAACCTGAGGACTCTGGAGAGAGAATAAATGCCAGAGCCCAGAGGGTGTGGAGGGAGGGAAAGAACAAGGCTGCTGCTGCTTCCCCCTTGCTGCTCCTGGTTGCTGTTGTGAGACAAGAAGTTGGAGATCTCCTGAAATGAGGATTGGGTTAGCTCTAGGGAACCTGACTTTCAGCAGGAAGCAGCTAAGAGAACTGCGCCCCTCTCCCACTAACCCTTTCTCTCTCCTGCCTGGTGTTAGGGTGTTGGGAGGGACTGGGGTGGAGTAGGGATAAAAAGATATAAGAAACATAAGTAAAACCAACGCCAACACTCTGGAACCAGATCTCCTCAACACTTTAAGCTAAATGAGCTTTCAAAACTAAACATATTGTAAAAAAAAAAAAAAAAAAAAGAACCACTTTCCATTTCAACAGAGAGGTGAGGAGTCAGATTGTTGCCTATGTTTTCAGGCCTGGAAGTGGAAATTTATTCAGACGAGAGCGTTCTGTTGTGCTTGGGAAACAGATCATCTTGTGAACGTTTACAATATGACGTTCTTCTTTGTCATGCTAAGAAATTTAAGAATTAGAAAAATAAACTTAAAAATGTTTAATTATGTTTCATTATTAGTGTGTGTGTGTTTGTACAGGTATACAGGTACAAGCGCATGAGTGTGTATGTGTGTAAAGGCCAAAGGGCAACCTCATATGTCTCATATCAAGTTTTAGATTTCTCTCTCTCTCTCTCTCTCTCTCTCTCTCTCTCTCTGTGGTTATGTGTGTGCACACATGTGTGCTGAGTCTTTTAGGACAGGATCTTTTACCAGCCTAGACCTTTCCAAGTAGACTATGCTGGTTGGCCATGGAGTCTTGGGGAACAGCCTGTCTCTGCCTCCCTAGAGCTGGGATTACAAAATGTGCACCATCATATCTGATTTTTTATATGGGTTTTAGAGCTTGACCTCAAGTCCTATGCCTGCAAGGCAGACACTTTACCTATTGAGCCAACTCCCCAGATCCCTGGACAAAGAACGTAAAAAACCTCTCAAATTCATAAATTTAAAAGGATACAAATAAATAGCTGGATTAAGGACGACAATGAGGGACATGCAAGGGACATTCCATAGAGAGAGAGGAGAGAGGCATAGGGAAGACATTCAGTCCCACCGGTACAATGAGCAGGTATGTGGTGGGGAGATGGGAGAGGAGGAGCAGCAGAATGGTTTGTGTGCTATGAAGAGAGGCAGAGCTGGAGACACGGGCAGTAGTTGGCGCCGTCACCTGAGGCCATGTCCTAGCCCATGCTGCCACCGAGGCCCATACCCAGGTCAGTGGCTCTACAGCAGTAAACGTCTGTGTCAATGTCGGTGGGCCATGTTAGCATCAAAGGCCATGAGGACATCCCTGTTCTAAGTTGCTACCTGTGACCATATTGATGTCTGAGGGCTGTGCAGAACTGGCCCTGACCCTCGCCTGGGCAGTGTGGAAGAGCTGTCCCTGAGGGTGTGAGAGAAAGAGCTGCCTCTGGCCCTCACCTGGGCAGTGTGAGAGAGCTGGTGAGCTGGACCTGCCCCTCACATGCTGCAGCAGTCAGGAGAGAGGGCCTAAGCCTTGCCTGGGCAGTTCTAGAGAGTTGGCCCTGGTAGCATGGTTTGGGGAGAGCTGGCCCTGATGGGGTAAGTGAAAAATCCTAGCATGTCCCTTGCTGGTTGTGTGGCCCCGCCTCTCGGCTGGACAAAGCGGGGGAGCTGCCCCGTTTATGAACTGCCTGAGCACACGAAGCATCTGTCAGCTGCTGGGCGGTCCTGCGGATCCAAAGCGTGAGGTCTCCATGACACAGGGCAACAACAGGCTGTCTGAGAGGAGCCCTGGTAATAATCCAGGACTGCCAGCGCAGCAGAAGCTGGGGCTCACTGCAATGATCATTTGTAATAAAGTATACTGTGTGATGTGTCACAATGACACAATGAGGCTTCCGCAACAGATGTTGGCTTTTTGTTTTTGTTTCTTTTCTTTTCTTTTTTTGGGGGGGAGGGGGAGGTTGCACAGGCAGAGGGCAGATATGAAGGATAAATGGGATTGGGGTGCATGATGTAAAATTTACAAAGAATAAATAGCTTAAAGGGAGAGAATGGAAGAGATGCTAGGAAAAAAAAAACAATCTGAAATCTTGAAAATGGAAATCTCAATAAATCAAATTTAAAAGAAACATTTGAAAGCATCACCAACAGCTTAGAGTGGAAGAACAGCAGGGCTTGACAAAACTTAGTTATTATACTCATAGAGCAATAAAGAAAAATAGGAAAGAATAAACAAGACACTAGAAAACTATAGGATACTATCAAAGGATCATTTATAGAGTAGGGTAATCAGTTCAGACAAATGGGAAATATAGGGTATAGGTACTGAAAACCTATCAGTGAAATAATGACAGGAAATTTCCCAAGTCTTGGGAAAGATACAGATAGCCAATTACAGGAGACATTCAGTATCCCAACCAGACATAATTAGAACAGAAATTAATTAAACTTCATAATTAAATGCCAGAAGTACAGAACAAAGAAAGAATATTAAAATTTGTATGAGAGAAGTATCAAATCACACATAAACATTTCTTAGAAGAAATTCCAAAGGCTACCAGGGCTTCAGTGAAGAAGTTTAAGCTGTGAAAAAAAAAAAAAAGATTGTTATATTGAACCAGGTTATCCTTCACAATAGAAAGAGAAATAAAGACCTTCTAAGATAAGCATAAACTGAAGGAATTCATGGTACTGGATACCATGTCAGAGCACTCACTTCCATAAATAAACACTACTGGGCATAAAGTGAAACTGGCCCAATGCGACAATGGCAGATCGCTTCAGTGGTTTATTGTCGCCAACAGATCATATAGAAAAATAATCAACAAAATAACACCAGGGTTAAATTATACTATAGGTCAAATAGACTTAAGAAGCACCCCGCTGAGGCAGAATATACATCCTTTTTTGGAATATGCAATCTTTTCCAAAACAAATCACACATGAGGCTGCAAAGCAACTCTTAAGAAATGCAAAAAAAAAAAAAAAAAACCAAACCAAAAAACCAAACCAAACCAAACCAAACCAAACCCAAAAACCACCACTACCACCACCACCAACAAAAAAAAAAAAAAACAAAAACAAAAAAACAAACCAAATCAAATCAAACCAAACCAAACCAACACAAAATAACACCCAGTGTCTCAGGTCAGAGAAAGCATTAGAAAGCAGAGGCAGGAAGAGCTACATAAATTAAGAGACTAAGCCACGATTTGAACCACTAACAGCCTGACTTAGAGCCTGGTGCTTTATCCTAAGCCATGCTTTGAATGAATGGTGTGTCACTGGAGAAACCAAAAGGGAAGTAAGAAAAAGCTGTAGAATCACATGAAAATGGAAACACAGCTACTAAAACCTATGGGAAATGAAAACAAAAACCAACCCTCCCCCATCAGTACTATGAGGGAAATTTGTAGCTATGAGTGTATATACTTTAAAACCAGAGAGATTAATTTAAAAATCTTACATGTATCTCAGTCTTAAAAAAACAAGAATAAACTTAAGCCATAACCAAGGCAGAAACAAGTGTAACAGAAACTAAACAACGGACCAGTAACAAAAAGGGTTGGTTCTTTGAAGAGATAAACAAGAATGACAGACCCTTAGAGAAAATGAGCAGGAGCTGGAGAGGCCCCCAGAAATAAGTGAGGGGTGAAGCTGGATATCACAACACATGCCTCTGCAGTTCGTGGGGAAGTTAGAGAGTATTCTGAAAATCTATACATTTGTGTGGAGGTCTTTGTGTTCTGGGGAAACCTGACTGTGAAGCCCACAGGGTTGTCCCTTCCAGGGAAGGGGGCAGAGGTCTGGGATGGGGCATGGCTGGCGACTTTTGCTCTATCTGTGTGGCTGCTGGAGACCACACCAGATCTTCCCACAGATTCTTATCATAAGCTTGGTTTTTGTTGACATTGTTTTTTGTTTGTTTCTTTGCTTCTTCCAAGTCAATCTACAGAGCCCATCTTTACGGACTTTAGAATGAGTTCCAGTGCAGCCAAGTCTCATCTATATTTAGCTTAGAGATGTATGTATGCTTTGTTGTGAATGCAGGAGTGAGTTAATTATCACCAAAGTAAGTTTTCACCAAACCGTGCAGTGCTTAAATATGCCTAAAATAGGCGTATCGGGTCAGACTCCAGAAGTTTGAACACCAGCTACTGGGTCGCGCTGAATCTGCCTTCTCGCCTCCCATGGGTCATCTCTCTGCTGGCTGTGGAGGGCTCAGGGACAGCTGCAGATGTCAGTGAATTAGGAAATCCAGAAGAAATGGATGAACTCCTGGGTATGTATAACCTACTGAATTTTAATCAAGAGGCTGTGTGAAACTGAAGTAAGTCAATGGAATTGAGGCAGTAGAGTCTCCAATGAAGAAAAGCCCAGCACTGGGTGGAGCCACTGTTAGATTTTTTTTTTTAACTTTAAAAAAGAGTTTATACATGTCATTCTCAAAGTATTCCATCACATAAAAAAAAAAAAGAAAGAACCTTTACAAATTTATGCCACGAAACTAATATGTCCCTGTACCAAGCCTGATAAAAAACAAGAGAAAATAACAAAATAAAAATTATGGACCAACATCCTTGGTTAAAGAGACACGGGAATCCTCCAAAAATATTTGCAAATAGTAATTTTCACACTGAGAAGTTCATCTCAATTCAGCCATAATAATAATTATTTTTAAAAAGATGGGCAGTGGTGGCGCACACCTGTAACCCCAGCACTTGGGAGGCAGAGGCAGGCGGACCTCTGTGAGCTCGAGGCCAGCCTGGTCCACAAAGCGAGTTCCAGGACAGCCAGGAATAAACAGAGAAACCCTGTCTCGAAAAACCAAACCAACCAATCAACTAAACAAATAAATTCTGGGAAAGATGTAGAGAGAAATGAATCACTTTATACATGGTTGGTGGGAGATGTAAATTGGCACAGTCCCCGTGGTGAACCTCGAAGTTTACAGCTAGTTCCTGGAGATCTGGTGCAGGGTACTGGGTTCCAGAGCTCCCTGGAGGCCAGAGGAGAAAGACAGACAAACTCACCTGTAGTTTTCCCTGACTTGGGAGGCCCCACAATCATAATCTTCACAGGCATGGTAGATTTGGGTTTGGGTTGCCGGATATACTTGATTGGGTTCGTCATGAATTTTTCTCTAGTTTTTTTACTAGAGAAAAAGTAAATATACTGACGATGGATTACAGGGCTGAGTGGCTTATCTGCATTATCCACAGGCTTGATTGTTTCTCCTTCACTTAGCTGTAAGACAATTGAATTCACAAGTTAGATTAAATTTATAAAGCATTTCCTTCATATATTTGAAAAAATGGTAAAATATAAAAACATAATCTTCCTTACATAGTTAAAAGCCCCTAGTTATAAATATTAACAAAATAACTGTATACAAATTACAGGTTATTGTGAATCATATGTAATCAGCACAACATTTCCTTGATGGTTTTAGCTTATGACAATTACAGTGCTACTTCCTTCATGATGACTGCTTACATTAAACATTTCTGAAAAGGGCTATGAGATTGTTACACTTATTCATGAACTAATTTTTCCCCACAAACAGATCCACTTCCAAGATGGTGTTGTGGAATTGTATTTCCCCTCTCCCTTACAGCTCTTGTGTTGAAACTCTTATTGCCAATGTGAATACAATTGAGGTAAAATGAGGCAAAAAGGACAAAGGATAGGATGGAGCTTCAACAGGAGGAAGAGACACAGGTGGGTATTTGCAAAGAAAGCGCCAGGTGAGGAAACTATGAGAAAGTGGCCAACTGCTAGACAAGGGGAGAGGCTCCAAGGACACCCTGATCTAGACTTCTTACCTTCGGAATTATTAGTCCATGGCACTACCATCCTGGATGTACCTGCTCACGGACTTGAATGGGAGGCCCTTTGAACTCCCAGAAGAGAAATGGCACTAACTAGCCTTCCCTGACTAAAGTTCTGGCTGTAGTATCTGAAACAAGTTATACAGGTGCTTTTGCTGAGTTATCTTTCAGAATGGATGAATTTCTCTCCCCCCCCCCCCCCCCCCCTTTTTTTTTTTTTTTTTTTTTTTTTTTTGACACAGTGTTTCTCTGGCTAATTCCCCTGGCTGGTGGGCCTGGTGAATCTCACAGAGATCCACCTGCCTCTGCCTCCCAAGTGCTGGGATTACAGGCGTGTGCCGCCACACCCAGCTTCTTGCACATTTTTTTACGGATGGGTTCCTCTCACATCGTTAATGGCTACGAGGAACTGTAAAATGCCCGCCCCGCCAGAGGCGGTCTAAGGTGTGGCTATGGAAGGGGATAGAGTGAGTAATTAACTGATGGTAAGTGTGGTGATCTTTTTATGGCATGCACCGTCTTTCCTGGCTGTGGCAGAGTGGGTGTGAAGCAGTTTGTCACACTGCTTCGATTTGAGAATTGCAGTAGAATAATGACTCAGGTCCATAATGTCATCAGCACTGTCACTCATTCTTAGACTGGAATAAAACTCCTTGCTGGGAATAAATGCAAGGACACAAAGAAGTTCAGGTGGGGCAGAGTGTCGGCTCCATGCTATATATTTTCTAGCAGAAGCAAAGATAAAAAGTTAGATGGCTGTATTTCAGTCCCCCAAATATTAACGTATAGCATTATATAATATTTGTGACTTTTCAAAATGACCATGCCTTCCTAAGCAACTTGAAGAAATGAGGAATGGTGGGTTTCAGATGAATTTTGTGACATTACCTTTACAGGGTCCCAGTAGCCAAATGAGCTCAGGTACTTGTAGGTAAAGTTGAGCATTTTATCAGCGAGGTGTGGTGACACTGGGTAACACTTTTCGAAGATGCTGGCACGATTTTCCACCAGCGGCTTCAGTTTCAAATTCAATATATATTGGACAATATGAATTTTCCTAGCTCCGTTAACCGTAATTAATGGTACCAGAAACTTCTCGAATTCGTCCTGATAAGAGACATCAGAAAGTGTTTCTCAGCTACAGCAAGTAGACACAGCTGGTGAGCATGTGAGCATAAAGACAGTATCTTTTAGCTCTACAAGAAGCTGCCTGTGGGTAGATGAACCCACGCTGACCTTCATGCATGAGGCTTTTGATCTGTGAATTTCGTACCTGGGAAGTGATGGTGACCAAGGTCCTGTTGCTCTGACATATTGAAATATCACACACACACACACACACACACACACACACACACACACACACACACACA